TCAGGAGGCTGAGGCAGAAGAATCGTTTCAACCTGGGTGGCAGAGGTTTCAGTGAGTCGAGATGGTGCCACTGCACTCCAGCCTGGGCAACAGAGTAAGACTCCATTTCAAAAAAAAAAAAAGTGACTTTTGCTAGGACTTAGGACTGGTTTGTCTGTAGCAGGAGTGAAAACAGGTCAGACATAAGGGAAGACCTCTGAACAGGAAGAAACTGGGAAACTGGGAAAGTTGTTAAAGACAAAATCTCCAAACTAAGGAATGGGCAAACTGTGTTCTGCATTTTTGCCAACAGCTTGAGAAAATCACCGGTGGCTGCTTATTTAAAAATAAGTAAGGCCGGCTGGTTGCGGTGACTCATGCCTGTAATCCCAGCACTGTGAGAGGTCAAGGCGGGCAGATCACGAGGTCAGAAGTTCGAGACCAGCCTGGCCAACATGGCGAAACCCCATCGCTACTAAAAATACAAAAATTAGTTGGATGTGGTGACAGGCGCCTATAATCCCAGCTACTCGGGAGGCTGAAGCAGGAGAATTGCTTGAACCCAGGAGGCCTGGGTAACACAGTGAAACTTCGTAGCAAAAAAAACCTGAAAATAAATAAGCAAAGCCAGGTGCAGTGGCTCTTCCTATAATCCCAGCACTTTCGGAGGTTGAGGCAGGAGGATCTCTGGAGCTCAGGGGTTTGAGACCAGCCTGGGCAATATGGTGAGACCCCCCAGTCTCTACAAAAATACAAAAAATTAGTCAGGTGTGGAGGTGTGCACCTGTAATCCCAGCTACTCTGAAGGCTGGGACAGGAGAATCACTTAAGCCTGAAAGCCAGAGGTTGCAGTGAGCCTAGATCAGTCCTCTGCACTCCAACAGACCGAGACTATGCCTTAAAAATGTCTGGGCCCAGCTGGCGTGAGCACCAGGATCTGTCAGTTGGGGTCCTACTTTTACCTAACGGTGCCCTTTGCCTTCCTCAATGTGGCTCCCCACTCCAAGCCCATTTTCGGGAGCTGAGAATCCACTCTCTGGGTTAGTTTAGGAAAGGCCCTCAGGAGGCGGAGGGAAACCTGTGGAATGCCGAGAAGCTGTGAAATGAAATAACATCACGCCTGCCCCTCACCATTACTCTGATCAGGGTTCTAAGGTCACTCTTAGAGCATAACAAAAAATGGAGAAGTGCAAGGGGACTAGCAGAATGGCTGGCACCACCTCGGCTGATGTGAAGATGAGCAGCTCAGAGGAGGTGGCCTGGATTTCATGGTTCTGTGGGCTCTGTGGCAATGAATTCTGTGAAGTGGTTGAAGACTACATCCAGGACAAATTTAATCTTACTGGACTCAATGAGCAGGTCCCTCCTATCGACAAGCTCTAGATATGATCTTGGACCTGGAGCCTGATGAAGAACTGGGAGACAACCCCAACCAGAGTGACTGGATTGAGCAGGCAGCCGAGATGCTTTATGGATTGATCCACACCCACTACATCCTTCCCAACCCTGGCATCACCCAGATGTTGGAAAAGTACCAGCAGGGAGACTTTGGCTACTGTCCCCGTGTGTACTGTGAGAACCAGCCAATGCTTCCCATTGGCCTTCAGACATCCCAGGTGAAGCCATGGTGAAGCTCTACTGCCCCAAGTGCATGGATGTGTACACACCCAAGTCATCGCAGCACCATCACATGGATGACGCCTATTTTGGCACTGGTTTCCCTCACATGCTTTTCATAGTGCATCCCGAGTACCGGCCCAAACAACCTGCCAACCAGTTTGTGCCCAGGCTCTACGGTTTCGAGATCCACCCGACGGCCTACCAGCTGCAGCTCCAAGCCGCCAGCAACTTCAAGAGCCCAGTCAAGACGATTCGCTGATTCCCCACCCAACCTGTCCTGCAGTCTTTGACACTTCCTTTCCTTTTTACCACCATTTCAGAAACCCTGTATGGTTTTTAGTTTAAATTAAAGGAGTCATTATTGTGGTGGGAATATGAAATAAAGTGGTAGAAAAAAAAATATGCCTGGCCAGGCACAGTGGTTCACACCTGTAATCCCAGCTTAGGGAGGTAGAGGTGGGAGGATAGCTTGAGCCCAGGAGTTTAAGATCTGCCTGGGTAGTATAGCAAGACCCTGTTCTCTACAAAAAGGAAGGGAGAAAAGACCAAAAAAAATGTGTAAAAATATGCCTGGTGTAGTGGCTCACACCTGTAATTCCAGCACTTTGGGAGGCTGAGGTGGGCAGATCATGAGGTCAGCAAATCAAGGCCATCTTGGCCAACATGGTGAAACCCAGTCTCTCCTAAAAATATAAAACTTAGCTGGCGCATGCCTGTAATCCCAGCTACTCAGGAGGCTGAGGCAGGAGAATTGCTTGGAATTGGGAAGCGGAGGTGGCAGTGGGTGAGCTGAGATCATGCCGTGGCACTCCAGCTTGGGCAACAAGAGCAAAACTCCATCACACACACACACACAAACACACACACACACACACACACACACAGAAGCCTAGTGCAGTGGCTTATGCCTGTAATCCTAGCACTTTGGAAGGCTGAGACAGGCGGATCCCAAGGTCAGGAATTTGAGACCAGCCTGACCAACATGGAGAAACCCCGTATCTACTAAAAATACAAAAAGCTGGGCATGACAGTAGGCACCTGTAATTTCAGCTACTCAGGAGGCTGAGGCAGGAGAATTGCTTGAACCCGGGAGGCAGAGGTTGCAGTGAGCAGAGATCTCAGCACGGCACTCTAATTTGGACAACAGAGCGAGACTCTCTCACAAAAAAGAAAAGAAAAGAAAAAAGCTGAACTTGTCACTTGATGCTCTGCTGTCTGATTTGTTTGATTCTGCCTCATACCTTTATCGTTAATTGGAGTTACCAGAACCTACTGTTAGGAAATGAAACATTGTTTCTCTCTCTCTCTCTCTCTCTCTGTGTGTGTGTGTGTGTGTGTGTGTGTGTGTGTGTGTGTGTGTGTTGGAGTTTTGCTCTTGTTGCCCAGGCTGGAGTGCAGTGGCATGATCTTGGTTCACTGCAACCTCTACCTCCTGGGTTCGAGGGATTCTCTTGTCTCAGCCCCCCAAGTAGATGGGAGCACAGGCGCCTGCCCCACGCTCGACTAATTTTTTTTTATTTTTAGTAGAGACAGGGTTTCACTTTGTTAGCCAGGATGGTCTTGATCTCCTGAGTGATCCACCTGCCTCAGCCTCCCAAAGTGCTGGGATTATAGGCGTGAGCCACCGCACCCGATACATTTGTTTTTTTTTGTAAAAGGGTGGGGTATCCTCTGACCGGTCTGCGAGTAGCAACTTGTAGTGGCAGAAGGACTGTGAATACCCAACCTTGTCTTTATTAGCCTGGAGAGCTTACAACAAACAAAAACACCTGGCGATTAAAATATTGATGTTACACATTTATATAAGATATTCTTTGAAATGGGAAAATCTCGAATATCAACTATATGGACAGGAAAGTCATTAATTATCAAGATGGTTTGTAAACCTTTAAGGATGTAAAAATCCATTGTCTTATCAATGGAGAACTTTTTCCAGGAAACTGCACTCCTGTACATACTTCATTTTGCAGCAATTTCAGATTTACTAGTTATGGCCCCAACTCTTGGAGTAAATATCCCTGAATTAGCCACATGGGTTGTGTGTTATACACTACCTAGCTGCCTGCATGGCAGCAGGCTTTTGAAAACTAGAACTCTTTGACTCAGTGTCCTCTGCTTCTAGAATTTCAACCCATTTCATCTATTCATTCATTTGTTGTGATTCATTCTAGAAATAATTTTGTGTCTACTAGTTGATAGGTGTGGGATATTGCAGTGAATCCAGCTGATGTAGTCAGCCCTCATGGTACTTCCAGTCTAGTGGACACTTCAACTGCCCTTTCTTATGTAATCTGCTTGTCCTGGATGAAACCCATACACAGCTTTCCAGACCCCTTTTTACATGTCGGTGCTCAGTTCCTGGTTCATCCCCCATCATTTTCCTCTCTGCCAGCCACCAGAGCCTCCCTTCACATACCTTATTATTTTTCTTTTTTTTTTTTTTGAGACAGAGTTTCGCTCTTGTTACCCAGGCTGGAGTGCAATGGCTCGATCTCGGCTCACTGCAACCTCTGCTTACTGGGTTCAGGCAATTCTCCTGTCTCAGCCTCCTGAGTAGCTGGGATTACAGGCACGAGCCACCATGTCCAGCTAATTTTTTTTTTTTTTTTGGTATTTTTAGTAGAAACAGGGTTTCACCATGTTGACCAGGATGGTCTCGATCTCTTGACCTCATGATCCACCCGCCTCGGCCTCCCAAAGTGCTGGGATTACAGACGTGAGCCACCGCGCCCGGCCTTATTTTTCTTTTTTTAAGCTTTTTTTTTTTTTTTTTGAGACAGAATCTTGCTCTTGTTGCTCAGGCTGGAGTGCAAGTGGCAGTCTTGGGTCACTACAACCTCTGCCTCCCAGGTTCAAGTGATTCTCTTGTCTCAGCCTCCCAAGTAGCTGGGATTACAGGCACCCACCAACACACCCAGCTAATTTTTGTATTTTTAGTAGAGATAGGGTTTCACCACGTTGGCCAGGCTGGTCTTGAACTCCTGACCTCAGGTGATTCAACTGCTTCAGCCTCCCAAAGTGCTGGGATTACAGGCATGAGCCACTGCGCCCACCTCCCCCCACTTTTTTTCTAAAGGAGAAGCAAGCTGGATGCTGCAGTGGCTCATGCCTGTAATCACAGCACTTTGGGAGACTGAGGCAGAGGATCATGAGGCCATGAGTTTGAGACCAGCCTGGCCAACATGGTGAACCCCTATCTCTACTATAAAAGCAAAAAATTAACCGGGCGTGGTGGCACATGCCTGTAATCCCAGCTACTTGGGAGGCTAAGCCAGGAGAATCGCTCGAACCTGGGAGGCAGAGGTTGCGGTAAGCCGAGACTGCGCCATTGCACTCCAGCCTAGGCAACAAGAGCAACACTCCATCCTAAATAAATAAATAAGGAGAAGCAGAAGAGTTGGAGAAAACTCCATTTTATTATGGAAAGTTAAAAAACAAACAAAACAAAACAGGCAATTGATAAAGGAGGCACAATGGGAGAGGAGAGGTGAGGTGTCTCCTTCACCACCCCACACCATCTCAGTTCAGTTCAATTGTGAACCACTAGGAGAAACAGAATTAAATAACTATCAAGGGATACAGAGTTAAGATTTCCAGCCTTCCCTCTTGGGGAAAACTGAGGCAAAGTAATACTGAGAAAAAGTGGAGGAAGCCGCACCTTCAGGCCACTCCAATGAGGAGATAAGAGGGGACAGAGGAGAGAATTCCACGCAGACACAGCAAGTAAGCGTGGCTTGTAAACCTGGGACTTTGGCAGGTGGAGCTGGGAGCTGGTGGAATTTGTAAACCAGGCTGTGGTCAAGACAGGAGGCAGGAACTGTAAACAAAGGGGCAGTGACTTAGGAAATAAAGGAGATGTGTCTATAAATGGAATGGGGTCTGGGCCTCCCAGAGAAACGAGTGCTTAAATCCTGAGATCCCCCACGGGATGGTGGGGAGGAAGGCTATGGGAAGAGCATACCCTGCCACGGGGGCGGGGGCAGGTGCTCCATCTCCACCCTCCGGGAGTTCCGTGCTCCTTCTCAGGACTTGGTGCTCACTCTTGGATCACCTAGGATGCACCAGCACGTTTAACCCCACCCACACTAGGGATTTCGGATTAGGGTAGAAATTGGGCAATTGGCTCTGCCCCCAGAAACAGGGTGGGGAAAGCAAGTTAGAAGACGGTGGTTGCCCTTCCCTGCCAGGCTCATTATTAGGGTCTGTCTGCCCTGAATCTTCCAGGCTCCAGGATCTTCAGTTATAGGAAGGAGGGACGTATATCCCTATATTGGAAGATGGTCACCGCCGGCAGGACTCATCTATGGGAGAGGAGGCAATAATGACAGAGAATGAGTGAGAGCCTCTACTTCCTGCCCTCCTTTCCCCCCCCGCCCCCGCACACAAATTGAAGGGCAGTTGGCATGCAGGAAGTCTTATAATAGCTTTCATATCTAAAGCACCTTCCCACCAATAACATCATCCATCTCTCATTTAGCTTGAACTCTGTGCCAGGCATCCTTCCAACTGTTTAATCTTACCATAACTCCAGGAAAGAGTAAGTAATTTGATATCCAGCTGTGGCTCTCGGCGCTTCACAAAAATTACTTAATCTAATCCCAGCACTTTGGGAGGCTGAGGCAGGAGGATCACTTGAGGTCAGGAGTACAAGACCAGCCCAGCCAACATGGCGAAATCCCATCTCCACTAAAAATACAATAATTAGCCAGATGTGATGGTACATGCCTGTAATCCCAGCTACTCTGGAGGCTGAGGAATGAGAATCACTTGAACTTGAGAGGCAGAGGTTGCAGTGAGTCGAGATTGTGTCACTGGATTCCAGTCTGGATGACAGAGGAAGAGTCTGTCTCAAATAAATAAATAAATAACTTTCTTTTCAACAACTCCAGGAAGTAGCTTTTTTTTTTTTTTTTTTTTTTGTGATGGAGTCTCTGTCTGTTGCCCAGGCAGGAGTGTACTGGCACCATCTCAGCTCAGTGCAACCTCTGCTTTCCAGGTTCAAGGGATTCTCCTGCCTTGGTCTCCCAAGTAACAGGGATTACAGGTGTCCACCTCCATGCCTGGCTAAGTTTTGTATTTTTATTTATTTAATTAATTATTTTTTTTAAAGACAGGGTTTCACCATGTTGGCTGGGCTGGGCTTGAACTCCTAACCTCAGGTGATCCACCCACCTCGGCCTCCCAAAGTGCTGAGATTATAGGCGTGAGCCGCCACACCTGGCCTATTTAATTTATTTTATTTTATTTTTTTGAGATGGGGTTTCACCATGTTGGCCAGGCTTGTGTCGAACTCCTGACCTCAGGTGATCCACCCGCCTTGGCCTCCCAAAGTACTAGGATTGTAAGCATGAGCCACCATGCCTGGCCAATTTTTGTATTTTTAGTAGAGACAGGGTTTCACCATGTTGGCCAGGCTGCTCTTGAACTTCCGACCTTGAGTGATCCACCTGCCTTGGCCTCCCAAAGTGCTGGGATTACAGGTGTAAGCCACTGTGCCAGGCCTGTTTATTTCTTTTGAGACAGGGTCTTCCTCTGTTGCCCAGGTTGGAGTGCAGTGGTGGTACACTGCAGTCAGCTCATTGCAGCCTCCAACTCCTGAAGTCAAGCGATCCTCCCACCTCAGCCTCCTGAGTAGCTGGAACCACAACTGTGTACCACCACACCTGACTAATTTTTGTATTTTTTTGTAGAGACAGGATTTTGCCATGTTGCCTAGGCTGATCTTGAACTCCTAGGCTCAAGCGATCCACCCATCTTGGCCTCCTGAAGTGCTGGAATTACAGGCACGAGCCACAGGAGGTAGTTATCATTAACTTCATTTCATAAATAATACACTAAAGCCAGAGATCAGACGGTTTCTCTGAGATTACACAATTAGGAGACAAGCTGAAATTCCAACTCAGGCCTGTTCACCCACCCTGTGGTTTTAACCAGATTACAGGACTTGGGAAGTGTTCTGGTTTTGAAACCTGAAGACTCAGTGTGTATTTCATTTCCTGGGACCTCAGTTTGCTCATCTGTTAAAGGAGCAGGTTGGACCAGAGGACCTGCCAAGCCCCTTCCAAGCGCCTACATGAAGTCCCTCCCTTCTCTTCCCTCCTGGACCACAGCGCCCAATCTGACAGCAGGGGGCGCCCTCGGGCCGGCGGAGCCTCTGCTTACCCACAATCAGGGCCTTGGTGCGAAGCCCGCCCTGGAGCTCTGGCTGCAGCAGCAGCAGCTCTTCCTCATCCTCTTCATCGTCGGGTTGGGTTGCTGGGGGGTTGGGGGAACTGGGGACCTCAGGCTCCGGGCCCAACTCCTCCAGTACCGAACTCTCGGAGGGGTATTGGTACGTGGTCTCCAGGGCTGTCTCGCTGAAGGAGATCTTAAGCTGAAGGAGGGAAAAAAGGGGGCAGGAGACAAGGTCAGTGAGGGAGAAACCCGTGGGGGGTTGCAGGGGAATCCGGGGTTGGGGGGGAGTCTACAAGGGGGCAGGTGGGACACGTGGAACATGGTGTTGGGGCTGGACTTAAGCACCCCACTCACTGTCCCCATCCACTCTGGGATCCAGTTTTCCTTTCCATACTGACTCTCCAATCCTAGAGCTTCCCTCTTCGATCATAGCATTTCAAAACATCAGACTTTGCCCTGTACATTGGCAGGGGCTTGGGAGGCAGAGTGAATAATATAGGACCAAGGTCCCTGCTCCTTCGACTGTGGGAGGCAGAGGGGTAAAAAGAAATTAAAATACATGGAAACAAGTCTTATGATCAGAACTGAGTCTTTGGGCACCTTGGGGCAGTGGAGTAGATTTCCCGGAGGAGCCAGCAGGCTGGCCAGTGGGGAAGGAACTAGCTGGGGAGTGAGTCTCAGCCAAAAGTAAGGTTTTCATATCCACAGCCCCTTGCTGTCCTATGCAAAACTCAGGACCCTGGGCACCTGTTCCCTCCCACTCCCCTTATTCCTCTCTCCTATCCATAGCAAAGGGGGTCTAGGGCCTGGGAAGAGATGGGAGACGAACAGAAAGGCCCAGAGGAACCAAGAGACTTCTGCAACACACGGGAAAGGTGAGCCTCTGAAACCCTGAAATGCTGGGGGAGATGACAATGGCAGAAAGGAAAGTCCACACAGACCTGGGGTGGGGGTCGACAGTGTGTCCGAAGGGACAGGTACAGAGACAGAAGACCAGATAGGGCACAGAAAACCCTTGGTAATCACACTGTCCCAAGAGCAGGAGAGTCCCAGCTGTTCTGACTGCCTTTCTACCCTTCCCCTTTGCCCTCTTAAGAAGCTCAGGGGGAAGGGGCAGGGTGGGATTAAGTCTAGGAGCCAAAGGGATTAGGGAGACAGCAGGAGGATTCCATGTGAACTACTTGGAAAGGTCCAAATGATCTTCTCAGGCCTTCCCTGGCATCTGTTGGGAAGACTTGGGGCCAGCTGTACACATCCCTGAGTCCCCTAATGGACTGAGGTATGAAAAGAGGAGCCAGGAGGGTGGCTGGGCAGGTGATTGCTAAGAGCTGCATCAGATATGACAGCAGTCAGGCACGGTGGCTCATGCCTGTAATCCCGGCACTTTGGGAGGCTGAAGTGGGAGGATTTCTTGAGCCCAGGAGTTGAAGACCAGCCTGGGCAATACAGTGACGCTGTTTCTAATAAAGGGAAAAATCAGATATGACACCTGGGTCCCCAGGGGAAGGTGGAACTCAGGGGCTGTATGTGTCACGCCTTATTGGCTACAAACCCTGCAGTGTCTTCCCATCTTACTTGGAGCAAAAGCCAGAGCCCGATCAAAACCTACAGGGTCGCCCAATGTGTCACCCCTCCCCTTGTCTCTGGCCTCTTCCTCCACTGCAACCACACTGGTCTTGGTTCTATCCATGCACTCCCACCTCAGGACCAGAACAGTACTAGCTGTTCCTCCTGCCTGGAACACTCCCCCAGATATCGGTATGGCTCTGACCCTCCTGATAACCCTATTTTGAAGTCTCCATATTCACTCCCCCTACCTCCTGAACCTCTAAGTTCCACTGTCCTATTTTTTTTTAATAATCACTTACCACCTTCTAACTTACTAGAAAATTGACTAATTTATTATATTTGTGTCTGCTGTTGAAAGGATCTTGGGGCTGAGGAAGGTGGCTCACACCTGTAATCCCAGCACTTTGCGGGGGTGGGGGGGCAAGACAAGTGGATCACTGGAGGACAGGAGTTCGAGACCAGCCCAGCCAACATGGTGAAACCCTGTCTCTACTAAAAATATTAAAATTAGCCGGGCAAGGTGGTGTGTGCCTATAGTTCCAGCTACTCAGGAGGCTGAGGCTGGAGAATCGCTTGAACCTGGGAGGTGCAGGTTGCAGTGAGCTGATATCTTGCTGTTGAACTCCAGGCTGCAAGATAGCAAGAACATCTCAGAAAAAAAGATAAAAGAGAAAACAAAGGAGCTTGGAAGTTGCTACAACACAAGAGGTTAGGGTTTGTGCAAACCTCAGATGAGATCCAAACAGAGGACCGATGCTGGGGAAACAATCTGGGGTGGGCTAGCCTGTACACAGTTGATCCCCCGTTCATGTCTGTGGAACTGCTGGTAGAATCCAGCGACAGCAGCCAGGCTGCTTATACCCCAAGTTCTCAGGAAGGACTACTTAGGTTTCTGTTACTGACAGATTTACCCACATTTCTGGGAACCCATTTTTGTTTTCTTCTCATATCCTCTTTTGGAATAATAACCTCTGTAGTTTATTATCTACTCTGAAAAGAACTTATTTTATTTCATTTGCTCTCAGTCTATGTTTCTATCTCCCCCGCACCCTGCCTCCTCACCCCAACAAACTTCTGACTGGGCTTCTCAGGAATGCACAGCCTGCATGGGAGTGGGGGAGCGGGTGTAGAGAGGGTGTGATTCACTCGCTCCTCTCCCATCAGCTATATAAGGTCACAATGGGGCCGGTCTCTCAGCCCAAGAGGCCTCTGGGGTACGCACCAGCCACTGCCATCCCCTTGGCTCCAGTGGCAGGGCTGGGATTTCTCTCCTGATGGCAGGGATAAGTTTGATGGAATTAGCCTGCAAATGAGTTATTTAGGGAAGGTGAAGAGGGGGTTGGTGGCAGGGTCCTCCTATCTCCTATTCCTGAGTCAGTGTGCTGCAGCAGAGCTGGGACAAGGCACCCAGTCCCTGAATACCAGGGTGCTGAGAGAGGGGAGAAGGCGGAGGGCGAGGCATCTGGGTCAGAGGAACTCTGTGCTGTCTCCTCCCCACCCCCACCCCAGCAGCGGCTGCTTCCTTATTCTCTCACCACATCCTGAGCACAGCTCTGGCAGGCCCAGGGCCCAGGGTTCCCCACTCAGCCCCACCAGCCTTCCGGCCCCCACCCCAGGCTTCCTGTTTGGGCGATGTGCTTCCGGCTCCCCTGCTCTTGGGCCTAGGTATGGTCACCAGCACAGGTCCTGCCCTGCACTTGCTTCCTGGCTCCCCTGGAATGCTCCCTGGGCTTTGAGCCCCAAAGCTTCATGCTTCCCTCTGCTCATTCTTCCCCAAAGGCATAAGCCTCCCTCAGTAGGAAGTGGCTTTTCTGAACACCTCTCCTTGGTACCATTTCCTGACTTCTGTCTTTTTCGTCTGCCCAGCCCTGTGGGAAACAACTGGTAGAGGGTGGAGGGTAGGTTCCCAACCATGGCTCAGGGGCAGGAGCTTAAGCTTCACATGAAGATGAATTGGGGGGGGTCAAATGAACTCCCCTCCACCCTGGACTTAACCAGTATCTTTAGTCCCTGTGGTTCCTTGCTGACACTGAGGACACAAAAAATCAAATCTGAGGATGTTAACAAATGGATGAGAATGAGACTGCGCTTCCCAGGCTCTGAGGAGACGTGTGTGACTGGAGAGACGTCTGAGTGTGGGACCTCTCTCTCCCTATTTTCAAGCTGGAAACAGATGGGTGTGCATAGGAAGAAGTGAGGTGAGGGCCAGGGGGAGTCAGCCTGGCTGCTCCCCCTTTCCTGCAGGTCCTTGTTGCAAGTCTAACCTCTGACCCTCTGCTGGCCTCAACCCTCACCCCTGTCCAGAACTCCCACTGTGCTCCCTGGCCAGTGCCTGCTCTCAAAACTGTCTCCAAATTCGCTTCTCTTTTTTGCTACCCTAGGGGTGGAAGAGTCCAGGATGGCAGGAAGAGAGGGGAAAACCGATCACTGAGCCAGTTCTGGGGAGGGAGGGGAAACCCAGGGAGGAAGGACGGGCGAGTGAGGGACGGGGGTATTTTGGAAGAGAAGGCTTTTCTTGTCCCAAGAGAGAAGGGAGCACTGTCTGAAGCAGTGGCCCAGCTGGGGGTGTGCAACCCCAAGGTCACCCACTTCAAATGGCCTCTCTGTGTCTCTCCCATGGGGCAGACTCAGGGTTCAAAAGCCTTCTCTCTGCTCTTTGGCCAGCCCAGTTCCATCTCTCCTCTCCCCTGCGTCCTAGGATGTCCCTATTCAGCTCTGCCCTCCTTCTCATGGGGTAGTTGGAACTTCCTCCATTCACTTCTCCCTGCAATTTCTCCCTAGAACCCAAAACTCACCCCCTCCACACCCCAGGCTCCCTACCCCTTCTCCCCAGAAAAACTGCAAGTATTTTCACCTGGTGACCCTGCCCTCACTGAATCAAGCTTGTTCATTTGGGATCTCCCACTGGATGGGCTGGGGCAGGTCAAACTCAGGAAAGGAAGGAAAGAAAAGCGGGTAGGAAACTCAGAGCCTGAGGGAAGGGACAATGAGCAGCCGGCACACCCTGAAAGAGACACACCCAGAGACAGCCTTTGCTGGGACAGGATCTTTTGGGTTCAAAATGGAAAAGGAGGGCTCAGAGAAGGAAGGGTGTGTGTGCAAAGGGAGGAAGGGTGGTGGCAGGAATTGACAAGAAATAATAGAGGAAAACAAGAATACAGGGGTATAAAAAAGAAAGACCGGCATCCAGAGAGAATTGACAAGTGGGCTTCTAAGAAGTCTGGCTCGGCTGTTCCCCTACCTGTTTGTGGTGTCTTTCGGGGGACCCCTTGGCAAGGCAGCTGCGGCTGAGACGGAGGTAGCCCCCCAGAACCAAGATCTCCTCGGCAGTTGGGTACCGCTTCTTCCCAGCCCCCAGGGCTGCAGCATCAGCTGTGGCTGGAGAGGCTGGGGTGGCTGGGGGAGTCGTAGGGAGCACAGACCGCCGGGGGTTGACGGTGAAGGTGTGTCCACTGCGGCGGGGGGCCCCCACCCCTGGCCCTGCTTTCACCCCATAGAACAGGCGGCTCATGAGGGGATCCCCAGGAGGTTGGGGGGCAGCTGGGGCTGGGGGTGGGGGAGATAGAGGGGCTGGTGGTGGGGGCTGGAGTTCCACTGCTTCTTCTTCCTGCTGTCTCAGGCCTCCAGTCCCAGCGTCCTCTGGTGGGAGGGGGGAGGGCACAGAGCAGCAGTTCTGCAGGGCTCTCAGAGGCCTGCCCTGAGCTCCCGCCTCCTCCTTCTCAGCCTCCCCTTCTCCAGCTTCCACACCGGGAGGCTCCAGACGCTTTTCCACTGACTCTGGAGGTTCTGGTTTCTGAGTTTGAGCCTCGTTGTCGTTGGGTGTCCATTCTCGAGCGTTCCCAGAGTTCAGGGTCCATTTCCACCCTTCTGTTGGCTTCATGCCCCTCTCACTGTCTCCCATAGGCCTCTGTTCTGCAACCTCCACTCCTGCAGAACTGCTGCCTTGGGCCTCCTTTGTCAGGGTCTCTGACAGCTCTGTAGTCTCTTCTGGGGCCACCCCTGGAACTGGCCTCCCTTCTTTTCTCCTACATTCTTCTGAGTAGCCTTTTCTTTCTTCTCCTGACCTCAGCCTCCACTCTGTTGCCTCTGGTTGTACCAAACTCTGTTCCTGAGACTCTCTGGAGTCAGGTCTCCATTTATGGGCCTCTGTCAGGCCCAACTTCGGGTAGGCAGATTCCCCTGGGCTCAGTCTACTTTCCACCTCTTTTCTTCTGGGGCTTTGCTCTCGAGACTCTGCTAGTCTCAGACTCCGCTCTGGAGTTTCTACAGGACTCAGCCTCCATTTCCGTGCCTCTGACAGTCGGGAGCTCTTGTCTCCCGCCTCTCCTGGGCTTTGCCTCCAGTCCCGAGCCTCCAGAGGCCTCAGGCTCGACTCTTGGGCTCCCCCTATCCCCAGCCTCCTCTCTCTGGTCTCCCTGGGACTTAGTCTCTCTTCTCTTGACTCTCTTCTCTTGGGGCTCTGATCCCGCATCTCCCCAGGGCTGGGTCTCCGCTCCCGGGCCTCCAGAGATCCAGGCTTTCTCTCAGCTAGCAGCTCTTCACTCCGTTGCTGCTGCTGCTGCCGCTCCTGCCGGATGAATCGGTTCTGGTGCACTGGCCCGATGGCCTCCTGAAGGACCGCAGATTCATCTGTGTCTGCAGGTCCGGCTTCTGCAGTCCCTGGCACAGGGCTAGGCTCCCCAGGGGACAGCCCAAGCTTGGCCCGGCGGCGCTCCAGAAGCCCTCGCTTCCAGGCTGGCATCTGGGATAGGCGCTCCCGTTCTGCCTTCTCCCGGCCTCTAACGGACGCCTCCTCCTGCCGGCGCCGGGCTAACAGCTGTAGCTTCCAGTCTGGGATGGTGGTCATGGTCGCCTTGAGGTGAGGGTAGGGAGCACTGGGGGCAGAGAACAGGAAGAAGAGGCTCCAGAGAGGCCCAGGGAGTGAGACTGAGGGTGGGAGGGGAGGAAGTGGAGGGGGAGAGGTGGGACCACGAGCAGGGCAGAGGAGCTGAGGATGAGGACCAAGGGAAAGAGGGACGGCAGAGAACAGGGGAAATGGAAAAAGTGAAGAGAAGTTATGAGCCCAAGTTGGGGGTGGTGGGGGCGATGTGAGAGGAAGAGTCCAGATTGGAGGCAATGAGGACAGGAGCCAGATGTGGCAGTACAGGGTTAATGCGTATTAAAGACAGTCTCTAGGATGTGGGAAACAGAGAATGGGAGAAAAGAAAAGTTGCTATGAGGGTGAAAAGAGAAAAGGGGCAGGGATGAGGGGAACCCGGGTGCAGGCCTGGCTGCCTCAGCGATACCCCAGGGAGGTGAGTGTGGGAAGGAAGGACCGGGAATCCCTCCCGAGGAGGGCAACGGGACCTGAGGGGGTGTCGAGGAGGCAGGGAGGAGCGGAGAGCGAGCAGGTCTAGGGGAGAAGGGAAACCAGGGAAGAGGGGAAGGGAGCGCGGCGGTAGCGGCCGGGAGCGTCTCAGCGCGGGCCCCAAAGGTCCCTGCTCCGCTTCCAGTGCCGCTGGGGCCACGCCTCTCCCCAGCCCCCACCCCTCTGCCCCGCACTCCGCCCCCGAGGCGGGTCGGGGGAAATACCCACCCCGGGACTTTCGGAACCCGGGCGTCGGGGCTGCCAGCGCGTTCCCAGAACCCTGGTATCCACCCCCACCCAGTCCCGTCAATACCGCCTGCCTCCCCCGCCGTCTGCGCCCGGCGACCCCGGAGTGCCGAGGGCCGGCTCCATGCCTCTTCTCTCCAGCGCCTGCGAGTCCCATGCCCGGTCCCCGCTCTCATGGAGCCGTGACAGAGCCAGCTGTCTCCACCCCGCTCTGGCTGCACAGACTGACAATCTCGGCACAAAGAGGAGACAGCCAAGGTCCGGGCCAGGGACGGGAGCGAGGAGACACCCCCTCCCCAAGTCTAAGCCCCTCAGTCAACTCACACGCCGTGGGGCCCCCCTGGGAGGGGGTGCGGAGGAGCCGGGCGTCCAGAGAGAGGAAGAGGAGGAGAGAGGGACCGAGGGAGATCCGGAGACTGGAGGGAGGGGAGGAGGAGGGAGAGGAGGAGGGAAAGAGGCAGCAAAGGAGGAGGGACGGAGACAGAGATCAGGGGGCCGGGCGGGGGCGGCGACCGCTTTGTCTAAGGACAATGAGGAGAGGGAAGGGGGCGCAGGGCGGAGCCCGAGGGGAGGGCGGGGCTCCCTCCCACCGCGCGTGGGACTGGCTCTGGGACTGCCCCCTACTCGCCCCAACCCCTGGTCCTCTGCTCTGTGTCCCCAGGGGCCCTCAACCGCTTCCCTCCCGGTAGCCCTGAAGAACCCAGGTGTCCAGATCCCTTCCCCCAGCTCGCCGACCCAGGGCGGTGGCCCGTGACTCAGGCCCCTCGTGGGACTTTGGGAGGAAGCGGCAGCTGCTAGGAGCCGGGCCCGCCCTTCCCATCTCCTGCCTCTCAGCCCTCCCCGCGATTTTGCCTTCTCCGGCCAGTCTTTGTTTTTGCCGGGTCGAGGGCAGCCACCAGGAGGCCTTGAGGAGGGGGCGGCAGGAGAGGCGCTCAGAAGCCAGCAGTTTTGGAAGCTCGTTCTCCTACCAGAGCTGCTGTCCCCACTCTTTCTAGCTTCAACCTGCCTCCCATGAGTCTCTTGGTCAGCTGCGGGGTTGGGGAGTGGGGGAAGGGGATTTGAAGGAATGGGGACCCGGCCTCTCTGGCAAAGTGGGGGCGGGTCAGCGGGGGCGCGGTGGTCGAAGGCCAGCGGTTGCCAGAGGGCGTGGTGGCTGCCCAGACTCCACTTCGCGGGCTCGCAGGCTCCCTCTGGCTTTCCTTCCCAAACTCAGCCCTGCAGCTTGGGAGACACTGACAGACTACATGCAGTACGTAGAAAAATCAGGCTTTTATTTTCCTGCAGAGCATCCAGAACAGGAAGCCCCAAGTTAAGAACGGGAGAATCCTCTTGACTAGGTTCAGAGGCAGGGCCTAAGGAGGTGCAGACACTAGGGCCGGGAGTGCTGAGGCAAGGTGTGGGGCCTGGAGGGACAGCCACTGCCTTTGAACTTGCAGACCCTGGTCCAGCTTCTCGGAGTGGAAGCCAGAGGTGGCGAAGTGGGAGGGGGATCCCAGAGGCACAGAGAGAAGCAATGGTGCCCGCCAGCGGAATGGTCAGGGCAGATCCTTTCCTTCTAGGAGACTGTTGAAGGGGAGCATGCCATGCCCTAAACAGTGAGGAGACAGATGAATTCCATACCCTGCTCTTCCTTGCTGGTGAGATGTGGACTCTTGGAGTTCAGTGGCTGAAACTCAGAATTTAGAGTATGGAGCTGGACCCAGAGAATAAAGTAGCAAGTAGTGGAAGGGGCAACTCCTTTAGTCCATGGATTTGAGCCTCTGGCCTGAAGCAGCCAGGGCCTGGATGTTAAAGATTTAGAATTCAGGGGGAGAGAGACTGGGCGTGGTGGCTCATGCCTGTAATTCCAGCACTTTGGGAGACTAAGGCAGGCGGATCACAAGGTCAGCAGTTCAAGACCAGCCTGGCCGACATGACGAAACCCTGTCTCTACTAAAAATACAAAAATTAGCTGTGTGTTGTGGCGAGAGCCTGTAATACCAGCTGCTCAGGAGCCTGAGGCAGGAGAATCACTTGAACCTGGGAGGCGGAGGTTGCAGTGAGTCAAGATTGCGCCATTGAACTCCAGCCTGGGCCACAGAGCAAGACTGCATCTCAACAACATAAAGAATTTGGGGGAGGGGAAGAACAGGGCTTGTAACCAGAGTGAGCTTCTCACTCTGCCTCCCCATCCTGGGGTCGAGAGAGCAGGTGGAGTTTTCTTTGCAGCTGGGCCCGGAGGTAGCGGAGGTCTTGCTGATCAAGCCCATGAGCCAGGCCCAGGTAGAGGGTAAGGAGGAGAGCAAGGAGGAGACGGTCTGTGCCAAGCGTGGGCACCACCCACAGCACTGTCAGCAGCTCCACACACACTGGGTGGCGCAGGTGGGAGAAGAGTCTGAGAGCCCGGGGAGACTTCAGGGCCAGAGGCTCGCCCAGCCCCAGCACATGGTAGTACACCTAAGAGAGGGAGAAGAGCTCAGAAATGAAGTCAAGCCCTTTTCTCAGCTTGGGCACTTCTTTCCTTCTCTTCCAGGAACCACCCTCCTAGAACTCAGGCCCAGGAACCCCCTTCACTTGGGCTCTGACCCAGACTTCTTTTTTTTTGAGACAGAGTCTCACTCTATCACCGAGGCTGAAGTGCAGTGGCGAGATCTCGGCTCACTGCAACCTCTGTCACCCAGGTTCAAGCAATTCTCCTGCCTCAGCCTCCTGGGTAGCTGGGATTACTGGCGCCTGCCACCATGCCTGGCTAATTTTTGTATTTTTAGTAGAGACGAGGTTTCACCATGTTGGCCAGGCTTGTCTTGAACTTCTGACCTCATGATCCACCTGCCTCGGCCTCCCAAAGTACCGGGATTATAGATGTGAGCCACCATGCCCAGCCCCTGACCCTGACTTCTGATCCATGTACCTTCCCCAGGCCCAGGAGGCCCATGGTTGCTGTCCTTTTGACAGAGAAGCAAGAAGAAGGTAGAAGAGCATGGGAGGAGAGAAACCTTTGAAAGGGAAAGCGGAGTTCTAAAACGGGCCAGAGGCCGTAGGTAGGGATCTGGGAACCTCACCTGTTTGAGGCCCATGAGCTCAGCGTAGTCAAAGACGAGAAGGATGCTGAAGATGAGGAGCCAGGAGATGACATGGAGCACAAAGCAGAGGAGGGGCACCCAGGTGGCCCATGGCTCAGCTCGAGCCTCCCACAACACGGGGCCTCTGGGTATGGGCTCCCAGTACCGCATCACCAGCTGTGGAAGGATAAGGGGCTGGGTATCCCAGTGGCCTACCCTGCCTGCCCTTGGGAGACTCAGACCCAGAGCTGCCCCCACCATAGGCTAGCTTGCAACTCTCCCCCACCCCTCTCCTGCCTCACCAACAAATATTCACCATGTGGAGGGTGCTGGGTGAGGTCCCAGAAATGTAAGGATCACCTGTCTCTACTCTGAAAACTTACAGATGGGGTGAGCTGATATCTACATAAAGTAGTAGCCTATGCCAGCCACCCAATGAGAAGACAGACGAGTATGATGGAAAGCCTTCTCTTCGGACCTAGGGAAGTGGTTTTGAAGAAAGGATAGGTCTGAAGAGAAGTTAAGGAAGGGATCTCAAGCAGGACATGAACAAAGTTGCAAAGAGAATGCATATATTGAGCTTGGGGAAGGACAAGTACAGCCTTCTTGATAAAAAGTAGGATATGTGCTGTGGAGGAATGGAAGCTGAGATTAGCTCCTTAGTTCTCCTGAACCCATATTTTGTCCCTCTAATCCAGGGCACCCCTCCCACACTTGGTGTCCCTTGGGGACTCAACTGCCAGGGCCTCATACCTGCAAGGCCAGGGCAGTGCAGGCCACATACAGTGACCTCTGAAGGACCCCAAAGTACCGGGATGTCCATGCTTTCACTCTCTCAGCTGCCATGAGGCTATGCTGCCCAACAAATAGAAGCAGGAGGCCCAGATCCCATGCCAGGGGGGCAAGGATGCTGCGGTCCTGCAGGGCAGCCAGCCATCCCTGGCGGGCATCTATGGGAAGTTGAGGGAGAAAGAGACAAAAGATCAAAAAGGGGGCAAAATGTTTCCCCCACCCTCATCTCCTCTTGGAGCCCCAGGCCATATCCCTTACTGCTTTCAAGAGCCTTAATACTTCCTCTCTACGCTGTGCCCATCTCACTTTTGCATTCCTACTTTCTGCCCTCTTCCCTAGTCCTCCTGCAAACCTGGGGAAGAGGATTCACAGAACGAACAACGCATGTTGGGCAATTGCTAAAAGTATGGCTGGAGAGGTCACCGCTGGATTGCCCCTCTTATTTCGGTTCTCCAAATGCTGCTTCTTTTTAACACTCTTTTCTCAACTGTCCTCTCTACAAAACACTTTACTTACAATACTTCGGTTATCGCCCTTTCCGACTCCCTCAATCCTCACTCTCCCTCCTCTCCAAACTTCTAATCCTTGAGTTCCTAATTTAGTCCTCAGGTCTCCCACCCCAGGAGCTTCTCGGCGGCTTTCTTGGTTCGAGTTCCCTCTCCCCTGTCATTTGTTTCCAAGCCCCGCCCTCGATCTCTCTACAGCGGCTCCACCTTCCTACCCCCAGTTCATACTCGATCCCTCCCGCTCACCCGGACCAACAGACTCCGGGATCCCTCCAAGAAGTGGCTGAAGGGAGGCAAAGCGCACGAACTCCACTCCGGTGCCAAAGGCCAGGATGAAAGAGGCGAGGGCAGCAGGGACCAGGAGCAGTGCAGGGGCCATGGCGAGAAATGGAGGGGTGGGGAAAAGGGCGGGGTCGGGATTCCCGCGGCCACAGACCCCGCCCACTTCCCCGCCCCCCGCACGGAATCCAGCCCAGGAGGGCGGGGCTCCTGCACGCCGCTCCCTGCCCGACTTCCGGCCCGCCGGGCGCCTATTGTCACACCCAGCTGCCGACCTGTACCGGGATTCTTGTCCCAGCCTGCAGTGTCTCCATCACAGAAGGGAATGTTAGAACCCCGTCTGTGTTAGAGACAGAGAGCTGTTAGGGGTAGCGGCTCTGCAGCCCATCACATGGATTGAATCTCAGCTCGTCTAGTTTTCCCATCTAAAATGAAAAGTAGGCCGGGCGCGGTGCCTCACGCCTATAAGCCCAGCACTTTGGGAGGCCGAAGCCGGTGGATCACGAGGTCAAGAGATCAAGACCATCCTGGTCAACAAGGTGAAACCCCATCTCTACTAAAAATACAAAAATTAGCTGGGCATGGTGGTGCGCGCCTGTAGTCCCAGCTACTCGGGAGGCTGAGGCAGGAGAATTGCTTGAACCCAAGAGGCAGAGGTTGTGGTGAGCCGAGATCATGCCATTGCACTCCAGTCTGGGTAACAACAGCGAGACTCAGTCTCAAAAATAAATAAATAAATAAAATAAAATGAAAAGTGACTATTTTACAACAAAATTAATTAATGCTTATTCTGTAACTTATTATGAAGTTGAGTTGTTGACTGGCTAGTTTCTAAGAAGGGCAAGTAACTTCTCTGTAAATGCTGAAAGGTTTGTTGTCATAGTGCTAGAGATTGTTGATTTGTAACCACCAGAGTAAAAATGTTAAAATATTTGTGATAGTAACCTTTGTCAGAATTAAAGATCATGCAGCTAAGGACCTTGTCACACTAGCTGTGCACATAGTAGGGACCTTAGATATCATTAGACTAATTCCATCAATTTATAGATAGAAGAAATAGGTCCAGAGTGATGAAAATTGCCTGAGAGTTAGGAAGTGGCTAATCCTGCAGGCTAAGGGACTGGAACATTGCTGAGCAGCCTCCCGGAAAGCTTGACATTCCTTCTCCTCCCTCTCCTGGGCTCAGTACTCCTACCCTCCTCTGAATCAATGCTGTTGTATGCTGTACCAGACATCTTATGTTTTCTCTTAAATTCACTCTCCACCCTGCTTTCTGCTTCAGGAAGTTGTCCCAAATGGACCGCATCAATGAAAGTCACAGTTTTGGCCGGGCGCAGTGGCTCACGCCTGTAATCTCAGCACTTTGGGAGTTTGAGGCAGGCAGATCACAAGGTCCGGAGATCGAGACCATCCTGGCTAACACGGTGAAACCCCGTCTCTACTAAAAATACAAAAAAATTAGCTGGGCGTGGTGGCGGGAGCCTGTAATCTTAGCTACTCCGGAGGCTGAGGTAGGAGAATAACTTGAACCCAGGTGGCAGGGGTTGCAGTGAGCTGAGATCGCGCCACTGTTCTCTAGCCTGGGCGACAGAGCAAGACTTCATCTCAAAAAAAAAAAAAGAAAAAGAAAAAAAGTCACAGTTTTTATTGAGGACGTCCTCTCTACACCACTGCTCCTTCCTCATCTTTTTGAGCTTGGAGGTGTTCACAACAGAGCTGTGGGTATTAAGGCACTACACTATTCTTTCTGATTTCCCTACACTCTGCCTACTTATTCGTAATTATCACTTTATTAAAATGTCCCACAAAGTATCCTAATTTGACTGTGCTATTCATTTCCTGCTATGACTGAATAGAGACACTTACCATGCAAAGCAATGTGCTACAAGCTGTGGGGTTCATTGGAAGTGTAAGAGGCCAGACATGGTGGCTCACGCCTGTAATCCCAGCACTTTGGGAGGCTGAGGTGGGTGGATTGCTTTAGGCCGGGAGTTCGAGATCAGACTGGCCAACATGATGAAATCCTGTTTCTACTAAAAATACAGAAACTAGCTGGGTGTGGTGGTATATGCCTGCAATCCCAGTTACTCAGGAGGCTAATAGGAGAATCATCTGGGCGATAGAGCAAGACTATCTCAAAAAAAAAAAAAAAAAAAAAAAAAAGGAAAAATACCAGGAAGTGTAAGAAAAGATTCTTATTCTCTAGATGTTTAAGCTGAGGCACTTAAATAGTACTACTCATGAAGAGAGAGTGTAGCTGAGTGCTACATGGTGCTCTACAGACACCAGTTATGGTAAGAAATCAGGGCCTCTTGCTGGATGCAGTGGCTCATGCCTGTAATCCCAACGCTTTGGGAGGCCGAGGCGGGTGGATCATCTTATGTCAGGAGTTGTAGGCCAGCCTGGACAACATGGTGAAACTTCATCTCTACTAAAAATACAAAAATTAGCTGGTGGTAGCGGACGCCTGTAATCCTGGCTACTTGGCAGGCTGAAGCAAGAGAATTACTTGAACCCAGGAGGCAGAGGTTGCAGTGAGCAGAGATCATACCACTACACTCCAGCCTGGGTGCATGGCTTTTTCTTTCCTTTTTTTAAAAAAAAGGAAAGAAAAAGCCATGAGGGACATAGACAATTTCACAGAATATAAAAGCTTTGAGTTGTGCAAGGGGACTAATATTTACCTGGGTCCTACTGTCTGCCACTCCCACAATGGCTGTGCTTAATGTATATTATGAGATTAGACATGTTTAAAAGCCAGCAGTGCTTGGCAAATCTCATGCTATTTCTACTACACCAGAGTGTTCTAAACTTAAGTATTACTTACATGCAGAAAATGGTACAAAACTAATCAACTCTTTTTTAAAAATTGAAATTCATACAACATAAAATTAACCTTTTTTTTTTAGTTTGGGTCCCATTCTGTCATACAGGCTGGAGTGCAGTGGTATAATCATGGCTCATTGCAACCTCAAACTTCTGGGTTCAAACGATCCTCTTGCCTCAGCCTCCATAGTAGTTGGGACTACAGGCATGTGCCCACATTCAGCTTTTCAAAATTTTTTGTAGTGATGGGATCTCACTATGATGCCCAGGTTGGTCTCAAACTCATTGGCTTAAGTGATTCTGCTGCCTCAACCTCCCAGGGTGCCACCATGCCCTGCCTAACCACTTTATTTATTTTGAGATGGAGTTTCACTCTTGTTGCCCAGGCTGGAGTGCAATGGGGCAATCTCAGCTCACTGTAACCTCCACTTCCCGGGTTCAAGTGATTCTCCTGCCTCAGCCTCCTGAGAAGCTGGGATTACAGGTGCCCACCACCGCACTCAGCTAATTTTTGTATTTTTAGTAGAGATGGGGTTTTGCCATGTTGACCAGGCTGGTCTCGAACTTCCGACCTCAGGTGATCCACCCACCTCAGCCTCCCAAAGTGCTGGGAATACAGGTGTGAGCCACTCAGCCCAGACTTTTTTTTCTTGAGACAAAGTCTCACTCTGTCGCCCAGGCTGGAGTACAGTGGCACAATCTCTGCTCACTGCAACCTCCATTTCCCAGGTTCAAGTAATTCTCCAGCCTCAGCCTCCCGAGTAGCTGGGATTACAGGTGTATGCCACCACGCCCAGCTAAGTTTTGTATTTTTAAGTTGAAACAGGGCTTTTTGCCATGTTGTTCAGGTTGGTCTTGAACTCTCGACCTCAGGTGACCCACCCACCTTGGCCTCCCAAAGTGCTAGGATTACAGGGATGAGCCACCATGCCTGACCCATTTTTGTATTTTTTGTAAAGATGGGGTTTTGCCATGTTGCCCAGGCTGGTTGCCCATGAACTCCTGGGATCATGCAATCCTCCTGTCTCAGCCTCCCAAAGTGCTAGGATTACAGGCATGAGGCATCACACCCAGCCTGGACACCTGTTTTAAATTCTTTTGGGTATTCACCTAGAGCAGAATTGCTGGATAATTTGGTAATTTCATGTTTAACTTTTTTTTCCCTCCAAGTAGAGAGCAGGTACTGTTTTATTTATTTATTTTTTTTGAGATGGAGTTTCGCTCTTGTTGTCCAGGCTGGAGTGCAATGGCTCGATCTCGGTTCACTGCAACCTCTGCATCCCAGGTTCAAGCAATTATTCTGCCTCAGTCTTCCAAGTAGCTGGGATTGCAAGCATGCACCACCAGGCCCGGCTAATTTTTTAAATATTTTTAGTAGAGACAGGGTTTCTCCATGTTGGTCAAGTTGGTTTCGAACTCCTGACCTCAGGTGATCCACCCACCTCAGCCTCCCAGTGCTGGGATTACAGGCATGAGCCACCATGCTTGGCTAAGAGCAGGTATTATTTAAATGACTAATTAGAAAAACAATCATGGTAGACCACTTAGTTCATTATTCTAATAAGCCTGTTGATCTGGTCCTCCCTGTTGCCAGCATCTCCACTTTCTACAAAATGGGTGGTCTTTTTCTTCATTCCACCTTGTGGAAAGGATAATCTGAAGGATCACAAGAAGTTATTTGCTTCTTTGAAGCATTTTCCTACAGTATAGATCGCATGAATCAGATCTTCCATGCAGGTGATGCCATATTTACCAAGAGATTGAGCAATCAAAGTGTTATCTGTCAAAGCAATTTGCTTCTTACTGATTTTGCCATAACCACACTGGTAGATTAGTTCATTTACTGACTTCAGATTTGGGTACCTCCATGCAATATATCGTTCTGCAATCCTCAGCATGTTAACTGAAGCCTTGTTAAGCTTCACAAAGGTTCCACTGAAGATTTGACAAAGGCAAAGAAGCTACAACAGCTTTCAGACCTTTGGGCTCAGCATCGATACCTCTGATCCTGATGACAAACATAACTTTGGGTTTTGCAGGTACATAGAAGTTGCCAGCTTTTCTAGCCATCCTTGCCACGTGAATTTCAGTTCTGTCCATTTGCCTATATTCCTTGTGATAGTGCTTTGCTTTTTCATAGATAAGCGATCTTGCTTTTTGAAGCATCTTTTGGGCAAATTTCTTTCTCAGGCCATTGATCTTTGGCTCTGCGAAATTCCTTTGCATTTTAAATTCTGGCCTAGTAGGAACCTTCTTTTTCTTCTCTACAACACCCTAAATGGTTCCAGCCAGAAAAGAGGCTTTTTTTTTTTTTTTTTTTTGAGACTGAGTCTTGCTCTGTCACCCAGGCTGGAGTGCAGTGGCGAAATCTTGGCTCATTGCAAGCTCCACCTTCCAGGTTCCGGAGATTTTCCTGCCTCAGCCACCCAAATAGCTGGGATTGCAGGCACATGCCACTACACCCAGCTAATTTTTGTAGTTTTAGTAGAGATGGGTTTCACCACATTGGCCAGGCTGGTCTCGGACTCCTGACCTCAGGTGATCTGTCCATCTTGGCCTCTCACAGTGCTGGGATTACAGGCATGAGTCACCACAACCAGGATTTTTTTTTTTATTGAGACAAGGTCTCACTCTCCTGCCCAGGCTGAAGTGCAGTGGCTCAATCTCAGCTCACTGCAGTCTTGACCTCCTGGGCTCAAACGATTTTCCTCTCAGCCTCCCAAGTAGCTGCGACCACAGACATGTGCCACCATGCCAGGCCAATTTTTGTATTTTTGGTAGAGAAGGTTTTGCCATGTTGCCCAGGCTGGTCTTGAACTCCTGAGTTCAAGTGATCCGCCCACCTTGGCCTCCCAAAGTGCTGGGATTACACGTGTAAGCCACCGTGCCTGGCCAGATGTTTAACTTTTTGACGAACCATCAGATCGTTTACCATAGAGGCCAAACCATTTTACATTCCTACCAGCAATGTGTAAGGATTCTAATTTCTCCACATCCCAATTTGGCTGGGCATGTTGGCTCTACTGTAATCCCAGCACTTTGGAAGGCTGAGGTGGGTGGATCATTTGAGGTCAGGAGTTCGAGACCAGCCTGGCCAATCTGGTGAAATCCCGTCTCTACCAAACAATACAAAAAAAAAGAGAAAATATTAAAAATTAGCTGCGCATGGTGGTGGGTGCCTGTAGTCCAAGCTACTTGGAAGGCTGAGGTGGGAGTATTGCTTGAACCCAGGAGGTGGATGTTGCACTGAGCTGAGACAGCACCACTGCACTCCAGCCTGAGTGACAGAGTTAAGTCCCTGTCTCAAGAAAAAAAAATTTAAGAAATGCTATATAATTTGCCCTAAATAGAAGATAATGATGAATTAAATATAAGTCCCTGACTTTGTCTTGAGACCTAGACATTTTTAAAAACTGCACTACAACATAAGGCACAGAGTGAATATTTATTTATCACAGAGGTCAAGCCTAAGGTCTAATTTTATAAGTTCTGGAAAAGCAGGCCAGAAAAGTACAGAGGCTTGCCCAAAGTCAAAGCTAAAGATCCTCCCAGAGACTGAGAGAGAGAAAAATGTTTGAGTAGCACTCTATAACTGGACTTTCATATCTACTCACTCTAAGCATCCCTTCAAGTTCCTGACCCCAAAGTAAGAATCCCAGTAAGAAAACAATAGAGATGGTTTCCAAATAGGAGGTAGGACACCGTGAGTACCAACAAGCAATAACAGTCTGGCTAAAGATAGCTGCCACTTAAGACATCTGAGCATGAAACAAGCTCATTTTAAAATGGCCATTTAATAAATGCATGCAAGAAATCTGCTCTTGTAGCCCCTAAATCTATACAAATAAAAACATACAAGTAGAGATAAAATAAAATGGCCATTAAAAAAAAAAACAAAAACTCTGTGGTCCCAATTGCCTTATCTTTTCATTTATTCATAAATATTTCTGGTCCCACCCTATGTTCCAGGACAAGTCATATCAATATACCCCAATCCTTTCTAACGTCCTAAGTTCTTTCTTCCAAATATCTTCTAATATTTTATTTAATGGAGGTAAAAGGGTAGTGGAGGTCTCAGGTGGATGACATCTCCAAAGGGGAAAGGACAAAGGCCTCTGGCTTGGCTTCCTGCTTCAGCACTCCAGTCAGCAGGAACTCAGGTGAGAGGAGGGGCAGCCCAACCCGTCGTGGAACAGAGCATCGAGGGAAGTCCTGGGAGCATGTGATCACAACTCTCTGAGGCTGGGGAAGACAGAGCAAAAACAAAATTAGGGGTGAAAAAGAATCCTAAAAATGGGTTCTGGACCCACTAACCAGTCTTAGTATCACTAAAATAGTACCTCCTAATATGAAGCCACGTGAAGCATACTGCAAACTGTCTATAAAATATTCTTGCTAGAGGTTGGGCATGGTGGCTCATGCCTGTAATCCCAGCACTTTGGGAGGTCGAGGTGAGTGGATCATGAGGTCAAGAGATGGAGACCATCCTGGCCAACATGGCGAAACCCCGTCTCTACTAAAAATACAAAAATTAGCTGGGTGTGGTGGCGCATGCTTGTAGTCACAGCTACTCTGGGGGCTGAGGCAGGAGAATCGCTTGAATCCAGGAGGGGAAGGTTGCAGTGAGCAGAGATAGCACCACTGTACTCCAGCCTGGCAACAAAGCGAGACTCAGTCTCAAAAAAAAAAAAAAAAAAAGAAAGAAATACTCTTGCTAGAAAGATGAAATCAATTTATTCAAGCTTTTACAATTATCTACAATTTCCAGGAATATGGAACACAGAGGAACAAGATACAACAAGGAGGCAAACTCAAAAATCCATACTGAGGAACATTCTAAAGGAAAAGTGACCCAGTTTCTGCAGGAAATTGATGGTATAATAAAGGCTGGGTGAGTTAAGGAATGCTCTAGAGTAAAGAGAATTCAGAGGGTAATAGATGTGGCAGTATGTGGACCTTATTCGAATCCTGATTTGAACAACTGTATACAGACATTTTTCAGACAACAGGAGACATTTTATTTATTTTATTTTATTATTATTTTTTTTTTGAGATGGAATTTCACTTTTGTTACCCAGGCTGGAGTGCAATGGCGCAATCTCGGCTCACCGAAACCTCCGCCTCCTAGGTTCAGGCAATTCTCCTGCCTCAGCCTCCTGAGTAGCTGGGATTACAGGCACGCGCCACCATGCCCAGCTAATTTTTTGTATTTTTAGTAGAGACGGCGTTTCACCATGTTGACCAGGATGGTCTCGATCTCTTGACCTGGTGATCCACCGGCCTCGGCCTCCCAAAGTGCTGGGATTACAGGCGTGAGCCACCGCGCCTGGCCGGGAGACATTTTATTAATGGAGTGTGAGCAAATAATCAATAAACTATTGTTAATTTTGTTTTGGATCAATAATGTCACTGTGATTATGAAATAAAATGTACACATTTCTTAAATATGTATACTTAAGTATGTAGGAAGAAATAATATAATATTGGCAGTTTGCTTTAAAATACTTCAGCAAAAAAAAGGAAAAAAAGAAAGAATAAAAAAAAGAAAATACTTCGGCAAAGAAAATCAAAGGAAAAAAGAGATAGATGGAGCAAATGTAATGTAATCTAAACTAAGCTGCTGATTGATGATTGTTAGGGGTATCAGCAGATCTCTCTCCTCATTCCTATCCCTTTCTATACCATAGGTTTTTCCCCCACCCTCTCTCTACTCTATATTCCTTTCTGTACCTCCATTTCCCCCCCCAACCGTTGCCATTCCAGCCACCTCTTTAACTGCCACTGCCACCTCACCCAGACCCAGAGCATCCTAACTATACCTTATAGGACCGAGGCATGCTGGGTAGGACAGTGCCTCCACAGCAGCTGATGATCTCTCCCATCTGAGGTGGTGGTGGCTGGACTCCAGGGGTCACATGGATCTCATAGCCCTAAGAGAAAGAAATGGTGGAGGCAGTAGATGTATGTTGGGAAGCACTGGAGGGAGGGTTGAAGCACCAATCAAAAGATAGCCTCTCACCTCCAGCAGCCTTCGCTCCCGAGCCCGGCTCAGAGCATCTTGAAGGCTAAAGCCAAAGTTCTTCTCTTGCTCAGGATCAGTCACCACATATTCATCCGGGGGTAAGAAGCAACCAGCCTTGCGGGACTAAGGATGGCAGCGGTCAGCATCAAAACTCAGCCCAGCCCCTCACCCAGCTCTGCTGCCTAGCATTTATAGAGAGCTCACAAAATATCTTTTAAATAAATTCAGGCTCCTGCCTCACTAATGTCTCTGTCTTCCTGTAACTCCTCTTCCTCCCTACCATTTTCTAGGGTGCTACATGAGCAGTCTTGTCACTATATTGGTCTGTCATCATCTCTTGGCCTCTCACCTGATGCAGCCAGTCCAGGGAGAGAATGGGGATTCCCCGCCCCAGGGCACACAGGAACTTGACTGTCCGGCGGATTCGATCAGTGACCAGGTGGGAAGCCTCTGCCGCTGAATCAGCCAGACTTCCCCCCAGTGCCAGCACGGCCCGCTCTCCCTGGGCATCCACCACTCCTGTGAAGAGCACCTGTGGAAGGGTTGGCCTGAGGTGGTCACAGCAACCTATGCCATCAGCATCTCTACAGTCCCCGAGGTCTCCTTGTATCCTCCCCTCATCTCTGTCTCCCACAAAGTCTCATGCCCTTGTCTCTTACTTTGGGGGCTGTTGATTCCCGGGTAAGTTTGGTCCGTCGGAGGCTGCGGCTCTGTATGCTATTGGGCTCCTCCTCTGCCTGGTCTCTCTTTTTCTTGCCTGGTTTTGGAGTCATGACATCCTGAGATGGAGAAAAATCTTAGTGGGAGTTTCAGAGCCCTGAAGCCCTTTTTCCCAGCTTTGTGGTCCCAGCCTTCTCCTCACCTCTTCTTTCCCTGGCTTCTCTGTAGTATCTTCTAACTCTTCCTTGAGAAACACTGTCTTCTGGGAGACTTCTCTTCGGGGCTGTTTTTGAAGTGGTGGTGAATCCGTGGTAGCAAAAGGCCTCTTGCGGCTTTGAGAGACCTTAGGCTGGGGCTCTGAGGTAAACCTAGATCTACCTACTGCTTCCACCTTTTGGATCTGGGAGGCATGAGTTGGTGTCTCAAGAAGCTGGAAAGAGGCAGGCTCAGGAATGGCTGTAAGGGATTCAGCTTCTCTAACTGCTCCCCATCTTTGGTTCCTTGAGGCCTGGGATTTAGTTTCCAGGGGTGCAGAGCAAGGCTTATGGTCAATGGGAGTTTTGAGGGAGCCAGGATTCCCAATGACTCTCTGCCTCTTGCTGCAACTAGCTTGAGGAATAGGCTCAGGGGAAATAGGCTGATCTGTGGTAACAGGGGACTGGAATTCAAGGGTGGTAGGAACGGACACAGCACTTACTATAGAAGACCTCAGTGTTTTGCTCTGACTACCCTGAGCTATGGCCTCAGGGGTGACAGGCAGGTCTGTGGGGATAAGAGGCTCAAGATTAGAGGCTGCTGGTTCAACTGGTTTGGGAGTCTTGACAGAGGACCTATTTACTCTTCCTCTAGTGGCTCTAGATGTGGGCTTAGGTGTGACAGGCTGGTCTATGGAGGTTGTAGGAACGGGCTCAGGGGCTGTGGGGACAACTGGTTCAGGGGTCCTGACAGAAGACCCATCTGTCCTGCCCCTAGTGGCCCTAGATGTGGGCTCAGGGGTGACAAGCTGGTTTCTGGAGGTCGAAGGCTGGAGCTCAGGGGCTATAGGGACAACTGATTCAGGGGTCTTGACAGAGGACCTATTTGTCCTGCCCCTAGTGGTCTGAGATGTAGGCTCAGGGGTTACAGGTTGAACTGTGGAGGCAGAAACCTGGAGCTCAGGGGCTGTGGGTACGACTGATTCAGGGGTCTTGACAGAGGACCTGTTTGTCCTGCCCCTAGTGGTCCGAGATGTGGGCTCAGGGGTGACAGGCTGGTCTGTGGAGGCAGAAGCCTGGAGCTCAGAGGCTATGGGGACAACTGTTTCAGGGGTCTTGACAGAGGACCTATTTTTTCTTCCCCTAGTAGCCTGAGATGTGGGCTCAGGGGTGACAGGCTGGTCTGTGGAGGCAGAAGCCTGGAGCTCAGAGGCTATGAGGACAACTGTTTCAGGGGTCTTGACAGAGGGCCTATTTTTTCTTCCCCTAGTAGCCTGAGATGTGGGCTCAGGGGTGACAGGCTGGTCTGTGAAGGCAGAAGCCTGGAGCTCAGAGGCTATGGGGACTACTGTTTCAGGGGTCTTGACAGAGGACCTATTTTTTCTTCGCCTAGTAGCCTGAGATGTAGGCTCAGGGGTGACAGGCTGGTCTGTGGAGGTGGAGGCCTGGAGCTCAGGGGCTGTGGAGATAACTCGTTCAGGGTTCTTGACAGAGGATCTATTTTTTCTTCCTCTAGTAGCCCGAGATGTGGGCTCAGGGGTGACAAGCTGGTCTGTGGAGGTGCAAGGTTGGAGCTCAGGGGCTGTGGATACAACTGATTCAGGGGACTTGACAGCGGACTTATTTGTCCTGCCCCTAGTGGTCTGAGATGTGGGCTCAGGGGTGACAAGCTGGTCTGTGGAGGTGCAAGGTTGGAGCTCAGGGGCTGTGGATACAACTGATTCAGGAGTCTTGACAGAGGACTTATTTGTCCTGCCCCTAGTGGTCCGAGATGTGGGCTCAGGGGTGACAGGCTGGTCTGTGGAGGTGGAAGGTGGGAGCTCAGGGGCTACAGGGACAGTTGATTCAGGGGTCTTGACAGAGGACCTATTTGTCCTGCCCCTAGTAGCCCAAGACGTAAACTCATGGGTGACAAGTTGGTTTGTGGAGGTGGAAGGCTGGAGCTCAGGGGCTGTAGGTACAAATGTTTCAGGGGTCTTGATAGAGGACCTATTTGTCTTGCCCCTAGTGGCCTGAGATGTGGGCTTGGGAGTGACAGGCTGGTCTCTGGAGGTGGAAGGGTGGGGCTCAGGGGCTGTGGGGACAACTGTTTCAGGGGTCTTGACAGAGAATCTATTTTTTCTTCCCCTAGTAGCCTGAAATGTGGGCTCAGGTGTGACAGGCTGGTCTGTGGAAGTGGAAGGCTGGAGCTCAGGGGCTGTGGGGACAAATGTTTCAGGGGTCTTGACAGAGGACCTATTTGTCTTGCCCCTAGTGGCCTGAGATGTGGGCTTGGGAGTGTCTGGATGGGTTGTGGAGGTGGAAGGCTGGGGCTCAAGGGCAGCTGAGGTAGCTGGAAAGGGTGTCATCCTGGAGGACTTCTGAGTTATGATCTTAGGCTTTGGATGAAAAGGCTCCAGCTCTGAGGACAAGGGAGTCCCTGGAGCTTCCCGATTCCCATTTTGCCTGGTCTTAGGAATGGTTGGCTCGATAGAAGGTGGAAAGGGAGAAAGAAGGGGCTGAGGTGCAAGACGTTTCTGGCTCTGAGAGTTAAGGGGCTTTAGGGGTGGGGCTGACGTTTCAGGCACTGTAGGATGCAGACAAGCATCTGGAGATTCCTGATCACCCTAGGGAGAAACAGAAGCAAGTGATGGATGGGAAGTGGAGAAAAGAGATACAACTTGGATACTGTTCTTGATAACTTGTTTATGGTCAGATATGCTCACTGGATTTTGGCTGGGCACAGTGGCTCACGCCTGTAATCCCAGCACTTTGGGAGGCTGAGGCAGGTGGATCACCTGAGGTTAGGAGTTAGAGACCAGCCTGGCCAAGATCCCACCACTGCACTCCAGCCTGGGTGACAGAGTGAGACTGTCTCAAAAAAAAAAAAAAAAAAAAAAGATATGCTCACTGGATTTCCCTTTCTGATGATGATCTCTCTTCCATTAGACTGGGAACTACCTGGGAAGCTACCTTTTTCCCACAGACCTGTCTCCATAATGCTACTATAGTGTTCTCCACACATGGAGGATGGTAATGAAAAGGATGGCTGGGGCAAAGAAAGAAGAAACAAGAAAAAAGGGTCTTTCTTTTGAGTCAGATAGAAGATACAACTTGGGAAACAGTTATGGAAAACAACGGGTGCCAAAGATAAAGGAACAAAAGCCATTCAAGGAGTGATGAAAATGGAAGAAAACTGAATAATAAGAAAGGAATAGATTAAAGTGAGGCTAGGTGAGGGAGAATTGAGAGGATATAGAGAAGACTTGTGGAGTAGGAGGAGGTAGAAAAGGCAGCTCTCACCCTGGAAGCTTTCTTAGCAGCTCTGATCCTGGAAGCCTTCTTAGCAGGTGGCATCTTGCAATTCAGGCCTAGACAGAAAGTAAACACAAAGGTGGCTGAGTTCCAAGCAGTTGGTTGCTCAGGGGTTATCATGAAGCCTGTGTACCATCTTGGGTTCCCCTCCGCCTTCACTTACCTTTCTGATGCCTCCTGGGGCTCACTGGGGATCCCCTTTCACCTGACTGGCTCCCAGAAGGTATGGGGGCTGAGGCAGGTTCTGGAAAGTCCCTCACCCCCACCCCAGGCTCTGGTGTTGGGCTGGAGGCCTGCCCTTTCTGGTCCCGGCTCCCTCCCTCTGGCTCCCCCCTCTGTGTGCCTCTCTCCAGGATCACTTTGGGCACCTTCCCTTCTAACTCAGCTGGCTCACACTCTCTGTCTGCTACTGGTCTCTCTACGTCTCTCTCAAATGTTTTGTTTGGAAGGGTCTGCTTCTCTACTTCTTTCTCCTGTATTTCCTCAGATGTCTGAATTTCTACCTTTGAACTCTCCCTATTTCTTTTAGGACTTGCACTTTCCCCCTTTTTGCCAGATTCTTGTCTCTGACTGTCTCTAGCTAACAACTGTTTTTGTTCTCTGTCCTGCATGCCCCTGGTTAATTCTTCCTCTCCTGTTACATCTGTCTGTCTTTCTGGCATCAGTTTCTCAGTTTCCCTCTCCAATGGCACTCTCTCAGGGGCCATCCTCTCTGTTGTTTCTTTTGGTATACCCATATCTTTATCCATAGTCTGCATCTCTCTGCCTTGAATCCCCATTGGCTCTGTGTGGACTGGGCTCTCTGGATGTTGGTCTCCTGGTATTGCCCTAGGTGGAGACAGGCAAGATCCACAGGCCTCAAGGTAGGTGTCAAAAGGCTGGGTCTCAGAGTCCTTGGACTCTCTCAGACAGAATGGCTGTGTAGCCAGGACCTCCCATGGTTCATCTAGGCTACCTGGAAGTAAAAAGAGAGAAAAAGAAAGAAAGAGAAGGAGAAGGAGAGGAGGAGGGAAAGAGAGGTACAGGTTGAAATAATAAATACATTGAGAAAGGATTAAGATAAACTCATGAATAATAAATCTAAACAGGTAATTAAAACAAAGCTGGGAATAAGGGTGGTAGCTATAACTTATTATTATTATTTGAGACGGAGTCTCACTCTGTCGCCCAGGCTGGAGTGCAGTGGTGCAATCTTGGCTCACTGCAACCTCTGCTGCCCAGGTTCAAGCAATTCTCCTGCCTCAGCCTCCCAAGTAGCTGGGACTACAGGTACATGTTATCATGCCCGGCTAGTTTTTTGTATTTTCAGTAGAGACAGTTTCACTGTGTTAACCAGGATGGTCTCGATCTCCCGACCTCGTGATCCGCCTGCCTTGGTTTCCCAAAGTGCTGGGATTACAGGTGTGAGCCACTGCTCTTCGCTGTTTCTCTCAAAAAGGTCATAGCCTTGGGTGGGTATGCTAGTTTGATCTGTAATCCCAGCACTTTGGGAGACAAAGACATGAGGACTGCTTGAGGTCATGATTTCAAGACTGGCCTGGACAACATGGCAAAACCCTATTTCTACAAAAAATTAGCCAGGCGTGGTGGCGAGTACCTGTAGTCCTGTAGTCTCAGCTACCTGGGAGTTAGGAGGACCACTTGAACCCCGGAGGTCAAGACTGTAGTGAGCTATGATCATACCACTGCACTCCAGCCTGAGTGACAGAGAGACTTTGTCTCAAAAAAAAAGAAATGAAAAAAGAGAAACATCATAGCTTAATATGAGAGTTCCCTGAGTAATCTCTTCCTCTCTTTTTTTTTTGAGACAGAGTCTCACTCTGTCACCCAGGCTGGAGTACAGTGGCATGATCATGGCTCACTGCAACTTCCAGCTGTTCGGCTCAGGAGATCCTCCCGCCTTAGCCTCCACAGTAGCTGGGACTATAGCATGTGCCACTGTGCCTGGCTAATTTTTTGTATTTTTGAGACATAGTCTCGCTCTATCACCAGGCTGAAGTGCAGTGATGCGATCCCAGCTCACTGCAACTTCTGTTTTCTGGTTTCAAGCGGTTTTCCTGACTCAGCCTCCCGAGTAGCTGGAACAACAGGCACGCATCACCACGCCTGGCTAATTTTTTGTACTTTTAGTAGAGACGGGGTTTCACCATGTTGGCTGGGATGGTCTTGATCTCTTGATCTCGTGATCCGCCCACCTTGGCCTTCCAAAGTGCTGGGATTATAGGCGTGAGCCACCATGCCCGGCTGGAATTCCCCTCTTTTTAAAGGTTGAATAGTATTCCATTGTGTATATATACCACATTTTCTTTTCGTTGACACATAATAATCTTTTTTTTTTTTTTTTTTTTTTTTGACAGAGTCTCACACTGTCACCCAGGCTGGAGTGCAGTGGTGTGATCTCAGCTCACTGCAACCTCTGCCTCCCAGGTTCAAGCAATTCTTTTGCCTCAGTCTCCTGAGTAGCTGGAATTATAGGAAGTAGTACTTCCTGTAATTAGCTGCCACTATGCCTGGCTAATTTTTTGTATTTTTAGTGGAGATGGGGTTTCACCATGTTGGCCAGGCTGGTCTGGAACTCCTGAACTTGTGATCCACCTGCCTCAGGCCCCCCTGGGACTAATGGCGTGAGCCACTGCGTTCAGCCCTATAATTGTACATTTTTATGGGGTACCTGTATTATTTTGACCTGTGCATACAACGTACAATGATAAAACCAAGACAACTGGGATATCCACTATCTCAAACATTTATCATTTCTTTGTATTGGAAACATACCAAATCTCTTCCAGCTATTTTGAAATATACAATAAATTATTAACTATAGTAACCCTACTGTGGAACTAGAACTTATTCATTCAATTGACTGTATCTTTTTTTTGAGACAGAGTCTTGCTCTGTTGTCTAGACTGGAGTGCAGTGGCATGGGCTTGGCTCACTGCAACCTCCACCTCCTGGGTTTGAGCAATTTTCCTGCCTCAGCCTCCTAAGTAGCTAGGATTACAGGCGGCTAATTTTTGTATTTTAGTAGAGATGCGGTTTCACCATATGAACTCCTGACCTCATGATCCACCCGATTCAGCCTTCCAAAGTGCTGGGACTATAGGTGTGAGCCACTGTGCCCAGCCCTGACTGTATTTTTGTATCCATTAACCAATCTTTTTATGTGTCCTATCCCTCTACCATTCTCAGCCTTTAGTAACCACCATTCTACTCTCTACTTCCATGAGATCCATGTTTCATGTTTTTAGCTCCCACATATGAATGAGCATGCACTATTTGCCTTTCTGTGCTGACTTATTTCACTTAACATAATGTCCTCAGGGCTCATCCACATTGCTGCAGATGACAGGATTTCATTCTCTTTTGTGGCCGAACACTGTTCCATTGCGTATGTATACACATTTTCTTTTTTTTTGACATTGAGTCTTACTCTGTTGCCCAGGTTGGAGTGCAGTAGTGTGATCTCAGCTCACTGGAACCTCTGCATCAAGGCTCCAGGAATCCTCCTACCTCAGCTCCTGAGTAGTCCCAGCTGGGAGGGACTGGGAGGGATTCCTGGAGCCTCCTATCTCAGGTGCACAAGGCAGGTGCACACCACCATGCCCAACTAATTTTTGTATTTTAAGCCATCACACCCAGCCTATACATACATTTTCTTTTTGTTTTGAGATGAAGTCTCATATTGTTGCCCATACTGGAGTGCAATGGCACGATCTTGGCTCACTGCAATCTCTGACTCTGGGGTTCAAGTGATTTTCCTGCCTTAGCTTTCTGAGTAGCTGGGACTATAGGCACCTGCCACCATGCCCAGCTAATTTTTGTATTTTCAGTAGAGACAGAGTTTCACTACGTTGGCCAGGCTGGTCTCAAACTCCTGAACTCAGGTGATCCACCCACCTTGGCCTCTCAAAGTGCTGGGATTACAGGCATGAGCCACTGTGCCTGGCCTACATTTTCTTTATTCAGTCATCTGTTGATGGACATTTAGTCTGATTTCATATCTTGACTATTGTGAATAGTGCTGCAACAGTGTGTGTGTGTGTATGTGTGTGTGTTTTTAACAGATATTGGGGGTGGGGGTTGAGGGAAACCCAGGGTGGGCTCAAATGATCCTCCCATCCTGGCCTCCCACATAGCTTGGACTAAGGTGCTCACTACCATGCTGGGCTAATTTTTTCATTTTTGTGGAGATCAGGTCTCTCTCTGTTGCCCAGCGTAGTCCCTAAATATTTTCAATCTGCAGTTCGTTGAACTCACAGATGCGAACTTGCATATACAGATAGCTGATTGTAATCCAAGAGTATGAAAGAAACATGTAGGAAGGCAAATCAAGAAAGAATGCAGGCAGGTACGGTAGTTCACGCCTGTAATCCCAGCACTTTGGGAGGCCAAGGCAGGCAGATCATTTGAGGTCAGGAGTTCGAGACCAGCTTAGCCAACATAGTGAAACCCCATCTCTACTAAAAATACAAAAATTAGCTGGGCATGGTGGTGCATGCCTGTAATCCCAGCTACTCAGGAAGCTGAAGGAAGAGAAGCCCTTGAACCTAAGAGGCAGAGATTGCAGTGAACCAAGATTGTTCCATTGCACTCCAGCCTAGGCAATAGAAGGGGAGAAAAAAGAAAGAATGTAAAATTGGGGGCACAGAGGAGGAAAGAGTTTATTGTACCTGGTGTCTGGAAGCTGCAATGGGAAGGGCCAGGTTCTTGGGGTGGAGTCAACATGAAGGTCTGGGTAGGTTCATCCTCCATACTCTGGACTGCTATACAAGAAGAGATGGCCTAAGGACATCTCCATAGTACTGCAGGGTCCCATTCCTGGTCTCCTACCCTACCCACACTAGCCTTCACCTTTTTTTTTCCTCTTTCTTTTTTTTTTAAAATAGAGATGGGGTTTCACCATGTTGGTCAGGATGGTCTTGATCTCTTGACCTCGTGATCCACCCACCTCAGCCTCCCAAAGTGCTGGGATTACAGGTGTGAGCCACCGCACCCGGCCAAGCCTTCAGCTTTTAAGGATTAATCTAATCAGTCTAATCTCCCAGCTCCCACTGGTACTAGGATTCAAACAAATAACACCAAAGTCCTCACCTTCTAAGCTCTGATTCTTTCTCTCCAGAAAGCATTGGGTAGCTTGTAGGTCCAGATCTTCAGAATCTGGTAGGGAAGAATATAAGATAGATAATTACAAAAAAAATCATACCTGACACTAAACTCCTTAATTAATCTCTACCATTCTCTCCCCAACCCCAGCTCTTAGAACCCTGGTTTATTTCAGAGGTCAAGGAAGGAAGAAAGGGCAGCACTCACCATCACAGTTGTCTTTAGAGTCCTTGGTTCCACCCACATGTGGTTCTCTCTCCCTTCCTGTGGGGACCTGGGCTCCCTCTCCCTGTCGCTGGGTGGATTCCCCTAAAGCATCTGTATCCACCACCAGATCTGTGAGGTTCTCTCTTGAGATAGGGAGGTCCTGCTCCATTTGTGCCACAGGTGATTGACCTTGGGCCCCCACCTTAAGAGCTCTCTCCTGCTTAAGAACAGCTGTTGCCCACTCTGCCCCAGCATCCCCTTCTGCTGGAAGCTGGCTCTTTCTTACATCTGCAACTGCTGAGGCTGCCAAGGAGGTGCCCTCCTCTGCATCTGTTTCACAGAGCCCATGTGGAGGAGGCCAGGCTTCTTCTAGAGATACCACAAGCAGCTTTTCTCGTCCCCCACCTGCTTCCACATCTGTTTGATTTGTCCCCTGCATAGGCACCATGGCTGACTCCTTCACTTGTGTGTTGATGTCCACTGTGGTGGAGGCTTGGCTTCTCTCCAGGTGGATCCCAGGTGAACTCTTATCTGCTTCCACACTCTTATCACTGTCCCTAAAAGAATGTTGGTTTTTTTCTGAATGCGCTCTAAAAAGGGCTCTAATCTTTGTGTGACCCTTGGGGACAGCTTCTTTATTTTCCACTGGGAGCTTTTCCTCCTCATCTGTGTCACTGTCTCTCCCAGTGGTGGTTTGGCTTCGCTGCAGAAGGACCACAGGTTGGGCCATGTCCTCTTCTGCATCTCTGTTCCATAGAGCAGGTTGACTCTCTTTCAGACGTGCTAAAGTCAGCGCTGCTGAGACTTCTTCCTCATCATCTGTATCGCTATTGATCACCATGGAAGCTTGGCTTTTTTTCAGAGGGACAGCCTGTGGGGCTTTGCCCTCCTCCATATCTGTATCACTACCAGCCTGACTCTCCTGCAGATGGGCCAGCCCTGGTGCTCCAGGACCCCTTATACCAACTCCATGGAAGATCTTCCTCTTCTTCATAGGAACTACAGCTGGGGTTGCTGGGATCCCCTCTTCTTCTATATCAGTGTCACTGTCGATGAAGCCAAGAGGCTGAACCCTTTCTAAATGGACCTCAGCTGGCCTTCCAGGAGGCCTGCTGTCATCATCCACATCTGTGTCACTGTCCTCTGCAGGAGGTTGGCTCCTCTCCAGCATCATCCCAGCTAAAACAACCCCATTCCCTGCACCCCTCTTGACTTTTGTGTCATTGTCCCTCTCCTTCACTGAAGGCTGATTCTTTTCAAGCTGGATTTCAGTTGTGACTTCAGCTTCAGACTGCTCTGGCTCTATAGCAGCACCTCTTCTGGCAGCTGAGGAGGCCTCCTCTGTGGCTGGTTGCTGATCTTCTGCAACTGTGTCACTGTTCAAAGTGAAGGCAAAAGGCAGCCCAGGGCCACCCAGGACAGGGGAATTCCCCTCTTCATCACTGTGAAGGGAAGAAAAGAGAGTCTATTGAATTTATTTCCCTGGAAGGGATACCCCAACTCAACTGTAAGCTCCTTGAGGGCAGACATAAGGTAGTATTTCTTCTGGTGTTTCCAGCAATTTGTTTTCCACTTGGCACATCAGAGGTGCTCCATAAAAATTCAGTTGAGTGGGGCTGGGCATGGTGGCTCACGCCTATAATCTCAGCACTTTGGGAGGCTGAGGCAGGTGGATCACGAGGTCAAGAGATCGAGACCATCCTGGTCAACATGGTGAAACCCCGTCTCTACTAAAAATACAAAAATTAGCTGGGCATGGTGGCACGTGCCTGTAGTCCCAGCTATTCCGGAGGCTGAAGCAGAATTGCTTACACCCAAGAGGTGGGGGCTGTGGTGAGCCGAGATGGCGCCACTGCACTCCAGCCTAGGTAACAAGAGTGAAACTCCATCTCAAAAAAAAAAAAATTCAGCTAAGTGAATGAATACATATGGTTTCTCAGCCCCAACTCCATGATAACAATCTTTCTTAGAGACTGATCCTCCAGCCCCTGGTTGTTCCTCGTTTTGAAGACTCAGGTATCTAACTCTTTGGCACTCACCTCTCTGGAACTATCATTCCCACGGAGGAAGATGTTGTCCTTGATTTTTTTATCACACACCTTTCAGAAAGAGAATCTGTCAAGAATAGAAAGGAGCAAGTTGACAACTGTACACTCATCGTCCCTGTCTCCTCATTCACCCTGCCAATACACAAAACTTACCTACTTCCTCCTCTGAGTCCTCAGCCAACAGAAGCCTCTGGGGTTGAGTTCCTCCCTGTACCCTGGGTGTCTCTTCTACAGTCAGAGGGCCCCGGGAGACAAAGGGCAGGGGGACATCCAGGCGATGGTACTGGCAGGGCAAGTCAGCAAAGAGAATCAATTCCTGGTCCCTCAGACGGTGACTCACCCCAGGGCTCAAAACCTTAGGAGGCCTCAGGATTTGAGTACCATTAAGGCTCCCACAGTCTCGGAGGATAGGTGCCTTGTCCCAGGCTGAGATTTCAATCTCTGCATGTTGTTTGGAGATAGATGGAAAGGGCAGGGCCACAGAGCAGCCAGGCATTCGGCCTATCACATTCTTCCCAAGGTGTAGTGGGAAATCTAAGAATTAGAGAGGTAGATAAGTTCCAAGGTCAGAGTCCTGGCCTGTCATTAGGAAAAGGTGTCTATTAGGTACCCTACTATTCACTCAAGACCTCCACAGGCATTAGAAAAATAAAAGGCCTTAGGACATCTAGGCACTGAAAGAGTATATGCAATACCCTATCTATGCACACTGGATTTTTTTTGAGACAGAGTCTCGCTCCATCACCAGGCGCCAGGCTGTAGTACAGTGGCGCCACCTCCACTCACTGCAACCTCCACCTCCTGCGTTCAAGCAATTCTCCTGCCTCAGCCTCCCGAGTAGCTGGGACTACAGGAGCGCGCCATCACGCCCAGCTAATTTCTTTTTTGTATTTTTAGTAGAGACGGGGTTTCACCATGTTGGCCAGGATGGTCTCAATCTCTCGACCTCGTGATCTGCCCGCCTCGGCCTCCCAAAGTGCTGGGATTATAGGCATGAGCCACTGTGCCCCGGTGAATTTTTTTTTTTTACTGTTATAAAATACACATGAACACAAAATTTATCTTCTTTTTTTTTGAGACGGAGTTTCACTCTTGTTACCCAGGCTGGAGTGCAATGGCGCGATCTCATCTCACCGCAACCTCCGCCTCCTGGGTTCAGGCAATTCTCCTGCCTCAGCCTCCTGAGTAGCTGGGATTACACGCACGTGCCACCATGCCCAGCTAATTTTTTGTATTTTTAATAGAGACGGGGTTTCACCACGTTGACCAGGATGGTCTCGATCTCTTGACCTCGTGATCCACCCGCCTCCGCCTCCCAAAATGCTGGGATTACAGGCGTGAGCCACCTCACCCGGCCCTAAAATTTATCTTCTTAATAATTTTAAGTGTACAGTTCAGTGGCATTAAGTGCATTCACACTGTTGTGCAATCATCACTATCATCCATCTCCAGAGAACACAATTGGATTTTATTTGAATCTTTTTTTTGAGACAGTGTCTCATTCTGTCATCCAGGCTAGAGTACAGTGGCATGATCATAGATCAGTGTAATCTTGAACTCCTGGGTTCAAGAGATCATCCTGCCTCAGCCTCCCAAGTAGGTGGGGCTGCAGATGCAAACCATCACACCCAGCTAATTTTTTTTTTTTTTTTTAAGATGGGGTTTCACCATATTGGTTAGGCTGGTCTCCAACTCCTGACCTCAGGTGATCTGCCCGCCTCAGCCTCCCAAAGTGCTGGGATTACAGGCGTGAGCCATCGCGCCCGGCTCATATCTGGTTAATTTATAAATTTTTTGTAGAGACAGGGTCTTGCTATGCTACCAAGGTTGGTCTCTAACTCCTAGTCTCAAGTGATCCTTCCACCTTGGCCTCTCAAAGAACTGGAATTACATGTGTAATTACACTGCACCAGCTTCATTTCAATCTCTTAATCTTTTCTTACCAAAGGAAAGTCATTTCCAGTGAGTCTAGAGCAGTAGCCTGGAACAATCAACTCAATTGCCCCATCTCTTCCATTCATTTAAAAAAAAATTCACATATCTTTGAAACATATATAAGCTTCGTGCAACCCTCCAAATACCTTCCCCCAAAAACAAAAGACCTGTACCAATACTTCAGCATCTAATACCCCCTGACCTTTTTCTGGTCCATGGGCACCACTAAAGATATGTAGCCGCCCTACTGGCTCCAAGTTACACCCCAAGGATTCACAGGATTGCTCTGTCTCCTCCTCTTCTTCAATGTCCCAATCAATAGCTTGGGTGTCCTCCATCATCTGGGAAGGATACACATTATCAATTATCCTCATCACTGGGTCACACAAACAGCATCAGGGTTATTAGACTGAAAACTGGGGAGTAAACTGTATCATAATGAAGGCTGATGTTTCTCTTTCCACCAATCTTTCTGTTGTTAACCTTCTGAAGCACTTAAAACATTTTTTTTTTTTTTTTTTTTTTGAGAGGGAGTCTCATTTTGTTGCCCAGGCTGGAGTGCAGTGGTAAAATCTCTGGCTCACTGTAACCTCCACTTCCCGGGTTCAAGCGATTCTCACACCTCAGCCTCCCCCGAGTAGCTGGAATTACAGGCACCTGCTACCATGCCTGGCTAATTTTTGTGTTTTTAGTAGAGACGGGTTTTTGCCATGTTGGCCAGGTTTCATCTTGAATTCCTGATCTCAAGTGACCTGCCTGCCTCGGCCTCCCCAAGTGTTGGGATTACAGGCATGAGCCACTGGGCCTGGCTCTTAAAACGTATTTTGACCATGACACAGAGTAAGAAATATTTTAAGGTCTCAAGCACACAAATAGGTGCAAACATTTGCTTGTTTATAGAAACAAGTTTTGAGAAACAATGTTTAGCCTTACTATGAACAATACACTGATACTTATCCTTCTTTTATTTTTGTTTTATATTTTTTAAATGCTGATTTGTAACCTACTAAATTGATTTCACTATCCACTCCTGGGTTGCAACCCACAATTTGAAAAATGCTATTCTGCTAATACATGCAAAGCATGTGTTGGGCATTGTCTTATGGTCAGGCATAGTAGGCATATGAGGCAGGCACTTAGGAAATTAATGCTAAAAATATATTCAATAGTTTGCTCATGATATCCCAGCAGGTTAAGTGAACAGGAATAAATGTGCTTCTGGCTGCAAAGCTCATGCTTTTTCTTTTTGTTTTGTTTTTCCTTCTTTCTTTTTTTTTTGATACAGAGTCTCGCTCTGTTGCCCAGGCTGGAATGCAGTGGCACGATCTCTGTTGACTGCAACCTTCACCTCCCGGGTTCAAGCCATTTTCCTGCCTCAGCGTCCCAAGTAGTTGGGACTACAGGCATGAGCCGCCATGCCTGGCTATTTTTTTATTTTTAGAAGAGTTGGGGTTTTGCCATATTAGCCAGGGTGGTCTTGAACTCTTGACCTCAGGTGATTTGCCCACGTTGGCTTCAAAAGTGCTGGGATTACAGGTGTGAGCAACCGTGCCCCACCATTTTTCTTTTTTAGCCCATGCTTTTTATACTTCACCAGACCACCTCAGTATGATCAGATACAATTGCAAAAAATGGTAACAAAAGATGAAATATATAGAGGGTTCCTATGTGTCAAGCACTGTTCTAATTATTTTATACTGACTCTGACTCATTTAATCTTCACAAGAACATCACAAAATAGGTATTATTATCTTCCATTTCTTCAGATAAAGAAACTGCAACACAGCTGGGTTCTGACTTTCAGATCTCCTTGAAACATATAAATAAGCATATATAAGGTTAAGACTTGCCCCAAATCACCCAAATAATGTCTCTCCTCTAATATCTTCTGATGGCTTTTCATGCCCACAGAATAAGACCTAAACTCCTAGCAAGACCTTCCATGAGCTGAACTTTACATCTTGTAATGCCTGCCCCATCACCCCCAAAAGACACAAACTTTTTCCCCAATCTCCAAGCACACTGTTCTTGTCCCCCACATCTTCTTGTCCCTTACGTCTTCATTCCTTGGCCTTTTTTCGTCTAGTTTTCTGGTCCGACTTCTACTTATCCTTTAAGATTCAGTTCAAATGTCACTTTCTTTTTTTTTTTTGAGACGGAATCTCGCTCTGTCACCCAGGCTGGAGTGCAGTGACACTGTCTTGGCTCACTGCAACCTCTGCCTCCTGGGTTCAAGCACTTTTCTTGCCTCAGCCTCCAGAGCAGCTGGGATTACAGGTTTCCGCCACCACGCCGGCTAATTTTTGTATTTTTAGTAGAGACGATGTTTCACCATGATGGCCAGGATGGTATTGAACTCCTGATCTCAGGTGATCCACCCACTTCGGCCTCCCAAAGTGCTGGATTACAGGTGTGAGCCACCTCGCCCAGCCTAAAATGTCACTTTCAAATCAAAGCCTTCCCTGGCGTCTTCCCTGCTTTCTGGTGTTCCTGGTGTATCCTCACTGTTCCACAGTGGTCAATGGACTTGTGGTTACCCTAAGATCTCTCACTATATTGGAACAATTACTTTCCATTTTTGCCTTCGCACCAGGCTCCAGGACTGGATTAGGGAAGCTGTGTCTTTCCCCTAGGGTCCATCATATTCATTCAACGGTTATGGTGTACCTAGTGCTGTTTTAAGTATTCAGGATATATCTGTGAACCAAACATAACCAACCCTGCCCTCGGGAAGGCTCATCACCGAGCCTACTGATGAAGGAACAAATGAAAGGAGATGGAAACAAAATAGCATAAATAGAATTCACCTGAAAAGATGCCACTCTAGAGGGAAACTGTTGACAGGTAGGGAAAGTAGGACGCTCCACTGAGAAACCGAGAGGCGGAGGTTGCGGTTAACTCCGTCCTTATGACAGGCCAACTCAGCGGGCACCCACCACGCTTGGCTCCAATTCAATTAGCCACCATCTTTGGTCCACACCTCAGTGGGTTCCCTGGTGGCCCAACGTCTCCCTGTGTCTTCATACCTAAACTCGGGGCGGGGCGTCAGGTAAGATAAGTCCGAGAAGCGAATTTCCAAGTCACCTCCGCCCAGTCACACCCAAGGCATGCCCCTTCCGCTTTCCGGGAAAGCCAAGATGGCTCCCGGGGAGCCGTGGGCGAAGCCCCTAGAACTCACCTATTTTGAGTCCCCGCGCGCGCCACCAGTAACGGTCGCGACCCGGGTGGAGCGAGTGCACGCGCCGAAAAAGAGCCGACTCGCTGATTGGCTCCTGCTACTGTCTTTCACAGCCCTGCTGCAAGTTCCAGCCAGCCGAGCGGAGGCATACTCGGAGCCCCGCCCCCTCTCCACCCCCTTACGGCTCAAAGGGGAGGGGTCTCCCAGGATGCTGAAATCAGTTAGGTGAGACGGTAATTGAGGGCCGCTGTGCGCCCACAGAGTAGTGCGCCTCGATTGGGCAGCTCCAAGGGACAACCCACTCCCGCTTGCCCGCCTACCACCCACTTCCCGCGCTGCTTTCCAAACCGAGACCAGAGAGTCTGGCGCCAGCTGCCGGCAACGGATAGAGGGGCTGTGCCATAGACGTCTGATGTGTCTGGCACGGCCAGAGCGCCCTTCCTCGGTCCTCCTAGACATGGTGACCGCTGACTCATGAGAAATGAAAGTGGGTTGCGGGTTGCAGTCGTGGCTGGAGGCTGCAGCTTGGAGAACAGCCCGTAGGCGTGGCATTTTACTCCTTGTTGCAATGGAATTTCATTTCCTTTTGATTTGGTTTGTAGTAGAAGTCATGTCATTTCTTCCTGGGAATTTATCTCTGACGGACATTTTGAGATCATTTTCTTAAATCCAATATCCTGAAGTAAAGATCTGTAGGCGAACAGAGAAAACTGGTTTGCTCTCTATCTTTAAAGGTTGTGCTCACCTTTCGAGAGGCGAGGGAAGGATGATAAAAATCACTGAGACGTTGTTTCGCTCTTGTTGCCCAGGCTGGAATGCAGTGGCGCGATCTCCGCTCACCTCAACCTCCGCCTCCCAGGTTCAAGCGATTTTCCTTCCTCAGCCTCCCGAGTAGCTGGGATTACAGGCATGCGCCACCACGCCCGGGTAATTTTAGTAGAGACGGGGTTTCTACACGTTGGTCAGGCTGGTCTCGAACTCCCGACCTCAGGTGATCCTCCGCCTTGGCCTCCCAAAGTGCTGGGATTACAGACGTGAGCCACGGCACCCGGCCCATTTTTATCTCACAATAAGACATTAAGAAAATGGTAACTATAACATTTGTATAATTCATTAAAGTTCTTTCGGTTCGTTATCTCAATTCTTTCCACAACAGTCAAATAAGCAGATTTTACAAATGAGGAGTTGAATCCCTGCAAAGTTAAAGGACTTCCCTAGGTTCCTTTAATTTGTCCTAGAGACAAATTGAAACAGGTTATCGAATTCTGTATTTTGGGTTATTTCTACTTCCACAAAATAACTGTTACTTCCCTAAAACATAAGTTATATTTTACGTGGGTAGAGAGGGGCTTATACAAGTTGATGTTCCCTTATTTAGAAGGCAACTTAGAAATACATGTATCTGTGTGTCATCGAATGTGAATTAACAATGACTTTGACTTGATACCACATTTCTGAGTGCTTACGACATTTTATTGACTGTATGCTTCTCAGCAGCCTGCAACATCCTGGAGTACAGGGAGCTAATTCTTAATCATTTCGTATCCCTAGTTCCTAATTTGGTGGATACATAGTATCTATCAAATAAGTGAATATATCTCTGGGAAGAAGCAGATGGACTCTGTCTTGGGCGCATCCAATTTCCCCCCATCCATCACCTCTCCTTTTTCAATACTGGATCTCTGGCAGAGTTGTAGAGACGGCGGCCACCTGGTCAGTGAAATCAGCGAATTGAAAAACCACTGACTTCATCAACGTGTCTAGAGAGGTAGGCTGAAAAAAATTGAAAATCTATCAGGCATCTCATAACACAGTTCCCTATCTGACAAGACCAAGGTGTCTTCAAATTCTGCCCTAAGGTCCAGATTTCCTATGTGGATGGAGACTTCTGGCTTCAGAAATCCCCGACATCGGTTTCTCTAAACCATTCATTTTATTCTTTGAACATACTCTCCAGATATCTCTATCTTGAAAAGCCCTTGCTGCAATTTTGTTTCTCTTTCAAAACAATGATTCGAAAATTCCCAAAGAAACAGCAAGAGGGCAATTCCCTCCTTGAAGTGTTTGAGGGAGCAGAGGCTTACTGAAGTTCAGGCCTTGGGTCACCAAGTGCCAGAGGTAGCAGACTACCTCGGTGCCACACTTCTCCCAGTTTTCGCTGAGCTGAGCAATCCTGTCTTCCCCAGAGATACTGCAGCCGGGAGCTTTCAAGGCGTGCCTATCGCACCACCCAACTTCTGGAACCCCAGACTTCTGAACTGCCGTATCCCCGAGAACTGATCACTTTTTGTACAAACACCTCAGGCACAGAGGAAAGGAACCTTGCGCAAGGTCGTTTTTCATTTACAAAACAAAAACCCCACAAAAACCAAACCGGTATCCACCCATTCGTCACTTCATTTTGCAGCGTGGACAACAATAGGGGACTACAACTCCCAGAGAGGACTGCAGTCGTCCACTGCCTCAGAGGCCAATGGACGCCCGGTACATGACCGACATCGACTAATCAGGGCCAGGCTCGATGAGGCTTTGTCTTCCGACCGCGCGAGGGGCCGATTCTCCCGCCTCCCAGCCCCGGCGCACGCGCGCCCCGCCCAGCCTGCCTTTCCTCCGCGCCCTCCCCTCTCCTTTCTCCCTCTCAGAACCTTCCTGCCGCCGCGTTTGCACCTCGCTACTCCAGCTCTGGGGCGCATTCCAACCTTGCAGCCTGCGACCAGCAGAGAAAAATAATTACCTATTTTTTTTTGCCCCGTACATACCTTGAGGCGAGCAAAAAAATTAAATTTTAACCATGAGGGAAATCGTGCACATCCAGGCCGGTCAGTGTGGCAACCAGATCGGTGCCAAGGTAAGAATTTTACACCTCTTTTATTTCTTTTTAGAAGGAAAAATCCAGGTAATTTATGAAAAAATGGTTGTGGGGCATTTGCGCCCTTCATCCTTAATCAAGCCTTGCCTCTCCCAACCAAGTTTGTAACATTTATATACATAACAGTTGTAGCTAGCATTGGCTTTTGGAAAGCTGGGAATCATTTTTCTTGGCAGACACATTTTGGAGAAACTAGCAAAAGGGCTCTTCGGGTTTCGGGGGCGGGAAGACGGAGGATCTGTGAGCTTTTCACTTAGAAGGGCTTCTAACGGTCCGAGAACCGGGCAGGGAGAGAGATGCGGAAATGGTCGAAGACAAAGCGGGGCGAGGTTTTGCCCATGTGCATCCCGCCCAACCCCCCTGCGGGGTTCGAAGGGCCAAACCCGAGCGGGTAAGGGCGAGGCAGTCGGGCTGCTGCGGAGAGCTCCAGTGCAAGGGTGGGGGGGCGACGCGCCAGGGTGGGCTGTGCTGCGGGCTACTCTTCACAAAAGACCAGGGAGCCCAGCGCGCCCGCGACCCCGGAGAGCGGATCGTCCCTGAGTGGAAGGAGAATAAGAGCGGGATTAATTTTACTTGCTTTCATGGTCCCTAATAGAGATCATTTTAGGGCGTGAAGGGATATGGGGAGAAAATGGGGTGTGTGACTTTTTTTTACCAAGTCCCTCAGGACTTAAGGGGAGAGAAAGAATGCATTAAATCAAGGGGGGGAAATCTAGCGAAGGAATAAAATTCGAGGCCAAGGGGAATTTTTTTTTCTTTTTTTTTTGCGCGCGGTTACAGTGTAGCGGGGGAGGGGCGGGAGGAAGTGCGGCTGCTACGTTGTAGCAGAAGGGCGGGGCCCTGCGGGGCGGGGCCGAGGCGCGCGCGGGGACAGTGCGGTCCTGCCCGCCGGCGGGGGCGCGCTACCTTGGGCCCCGCCCCTCGTGCGCGGAATTCTTGCCCCTGGCCCCGCCCACGCGCGAAGCCTTTTGTCGGCGGCTCGACCTGCGCGTGCGCTGCAGTCACATGGAGGGCGGGGGGTGGTCGACTGCGGCAGCCACTCACTTCTCGGACCCCCAGTCCCCGGCCTTTTGTGCTTGGCGCGGTGGGGCGGTGCCCCGCGCTGTGGAAGGAGAGCGGCGCTTATCTTATTGTGGTCGACCTCCTTCCGCCCACCCGAGCGCTTAGGAATCGCTGCACATACCTCACCCCAATCGGAGAAAGCTGTGACTTCCCGGGGGAGCGAGTGTCTAGGGGAAGGGTGTGGCAGGCACACGGGATGCCAGGCCGTAGAACAATGGCCTGAGGGCATATGGAATTAAAATAGGAGGTGTGGGGCCGAGGCGGGCGGATACTTGGCAACAAAGCGAGGACCGCCCACCCCCCCACCCCGTCTCTACAAAAAAAATAAAAAATTCACTGTGCACCGCGGTGGCGCGCGTCTGGGGTCCTAGCTACTCCAGAGGCTGAGGTAGGAGAATCGGTTGAGCTTGTCAGCTCCAGGTAGTATTGGAGCTGTGATTGCGCCACTGCTCAGGCTGGGCAACAGGAAGACCCTGCCTTAAAAATTATAAAAAGAGGCCGGGTGCGGTGGCTCACGCCTGTAATCTCAGCACTTTGAGAGGCCAAGGATCACGAGGTCAAGAGATCAAGACCATCCTGGCCAACTAAAAATACAACAATTAACTGGGCGTGGTGGCCTGTGCCTGTAGTCTCAGCTACTTGGGAGGCTGAGGCAGCAGAATCGCTTGAACCCAGGAGGCAGAGGTTGCAGTGAGCCAAGATCTTGCCACTGCGCTCCAGCCTGTGTGACAGAGCAATACTCCGTCTCAAAAAAAAAATAAAAGATAAAATGGTACTTTCGACATAGTTGGCTGGGACTTGAGCTGTTGTACTTTTTGCTCTCACCCGGCAGTTCTGGGAGGTGATCAGTGATGAACATGGCATCGACCCCACTGGCACCTACCACGGGGACAGTGACCTGCAACTGGACCGCATCTCCGTGTACTACAATGAAGCCACAGGTGAGGGCAGGAGCCCGGGCAGCTCGGGTTCCCTTCCGTGTGTCCCACTTCTCTGGGTCTCTCTACATTCTTGGGCACGCCTTACTCTTTGGGTGATCTGTCATCCTTTGCCTTGGGTGAGCCACCGTCAGGGCCAGACGTCTGCTGCCACCTGGTGGCAGCACCTGGAATGACAGGTCTGGGGTCCCCGCTGTCTCCCAGCCTTCTCTGCCAGATCTCACAGCTTTTACTTTATTTTCTGTAGGTGGCAAATATGTTCCTCGTGCCATCCTGGTGGATCTAGAACCTGGGACCATGGACTCTGTTCGCTCAGGTCCTTTTGGCCAGATCTTTAGACCAGACAACTTTGTTTTTGGTGAGTTGTACAGATATTAGCAGATGATACACCATTGTGTTCAACTTACTTAGATCCAAAGACAGAGCAGAAGTTAGGAGATGATGCCCTGGCGTGCTAATACAGAACTATGTTCTGAAATGTAATGGAGGGTAGAGGTAGTACTGCTATTGCTGGTAAATTATGGGGCAGTGGGGGGAGAATACATCACAGAGAAGGAGAAAGAAGATACATCCAAGGGAATTATTTCAAAAGCTGAAAGATGGAAACATGTATCTTCCATACCCTGTTAATTGAGTTCTTCTCCTGACTGCATTGCAGGTCAGTCTGGGGCAGGCAACAACTGGGCCAAAGGCCACTACACAGAGGGGGCCGAGCTGGTTGATTCTGTCCTGGATGTGGTTCGCAAGGAGGCTGAGAGCTGTGACTGCCTTCAGGGCTTCCAGCTGACCCACTCACTGGGTGGGGGCACAGGCTCTGGAATGGGCACTCTCCTTATCAGCAAGATCCGAGAAGAGTACCCTGATCGCATCATGAACACCTTCAGTGTGGTGCCTTCACCCAAAGTATCTGACACCGTGGTCGAGCCCTACAATGCCACCCTTTCTGTCCATCAGTTGGTAGAGAACACTGATGAGACCTATTGCATTGACAACGAGGCCCTCTATGACATCTGCTTCCGCACTCTGAAGCTGACCACACCAACCTACGGGGATCTGAACCACCTCGTCTCAGCCACCATGAGCGGTGTCACCACCTGCCTCCGCTTTCCTGGCCAGCTCAATGCTGACCTCCGCAAGTTAGCAGTTAACATGGTCCCCTTCCCACGTCTCCATTTCTTTATGCCTGGCTTTGCCCCTCTCACCAGCCGTGGAAGCCAGCAGTATCGAGCTCTCACAGTGCCCGAACTCACCCAGCAGGTCTTTGATGCCAAGAACATGATGGCTGCCTGTGACCCCCGTCATGGCCGATACCTCACTGTGGCTGCTGTCTTCCGTGGTCGGATGTCCATGAAGGAGGTCGATGAGCAGATGCTTAACGTGCAGAACAAGAACAGCAGCTACTTTGTGGAATGGATCCCCAACAATGTCAAGACAGCCGTCTGTGACATACCACCTCGTGGCCTCAAGATGGCAGTCACCTTCATCGGCAACAGCACAGCCATCCAGGAGCTCTTCAAGCGCATCTCAGAGCAGTTCACTGCCATGTTCCGCCGGAAGGCCTTCCTCCATTGGTACACAGGTGAGGGCATGGACGAAATGGAGTTCACCGAGGCTGAGAGCAACATGAATGACCTCGTCTCTGAGTATCAGCAGTACCAGGATGCCACCGCAGAAGAGGAGGAGGATTTCGGTGAGGAGGCTGAAGAGGAGGCCTAAGGCAGAGCCCCCATCACCTCAGGCTTCTCAGTTCCCTTAGCTGTCTTACTCAACTGCCCCTTTCCTCTCCCTCAGAATTTGTGTTTGCTGCCTCTTATCTTTTTTTTTGTTTTCTTCTGGGGGGTCTAGAATAGTGCCTGGCACATAGTAGGCGCTCAATAAATACTTGTTTGTTGAATGTCTCCTCTCTCTTTCCACTCTGGGAAACCTAGGTTTCTGCCATTCTGGATGACCCTATATTTCCTTCTGGTGCCCATTCCTTCCATCTGTCCAGTTAATATTCCCCTTTTAAAAATCTCCAAGAAGCTGGGTCTCATCCAGATCCTGTTTAGAACCAACCAGGTGCTGAAGACATGTAGATAATGGCAACCATCCTAAGTACAAAGTAGAAAATGGTAGAAGGTAGTGGGGTAGAAGTCACTGTAAGGAAAGGGATGGAGTTTTCCATTCTAAAAGTTTTGGAGAGGGAAATCCAAGCTATTAAAAGTCATTAATCTCTAGGTATTTCCATTCCCGCCTCAGCTAAAAGGGAGGTGTTAGCAGTATTATTTCCATTTTTGATCTCCCTCCAAGCTCTACCTTGTGGAGGGGTCTGCCTCACTCTATCAAGTGGAATCCTTCCCTCTCCAACTCTACCTCCCTCACTCATTAAACTCCTTTACGCTGATCAGAGAAAGAGATCAAGGGGGGAAAGAGACCAGCCTTGGTCCCTAAACCTCCAGAAATGTCCTCCTAACCCCCACCTTTCCTTGTCCCGGAAAAGGAATTAACATCCCTGACTGTGGAACGGTGTATACTGCCACATCAGTGTTTGAGTCAATGCCCAGAGGAGAGAGGGGGACCCTCCATCTTTTTTGCAACATCTCATATTTCCTTTTGCTGTTGCTTCCCCACACACACACTTGATTTTGTTCTATCCTACATTTGAGATTTCTATTTTGTGTTGAACTTGCTGCTTTTTTTCATATTGAAAAGATAACATTGCCCCAAGAGCCAAAAATAAATGGGAATTGAAAAAAGTTGCGACGTGTGTACTTCTTTAGGGAAACAACTGCTGGTGGAGACATGGGGCCTGAGTTCAGCTGCACTGCTCTCCTTAAATTGAGACGTTACAATACTGAGTCCCTGTTTATCTGTGAGTTCTGCATCCATGGATTCAACCAACTTGATATTGGGAAAACAGTACTGGACATGTATAGACTTCTCATTCCCTAAACAATAGTATAAACTTGACATAACATTTTAGTTAGATTATGTGTTTAGGTAATATAGAGATGATTTAAAGTACACAGGTTATATGCAAATACTTCTGTCATTTTATATGAGTAACTTGGGCATCTGCTGATTTGGTATCTGAGGGAGGTACTGGTAAGAACACTGACTACTTGATACACCCTCACATCATCTCTGGTATCTAAACCAGTCCCAGCACCAGTCATTCTTTTCAGTGGAGTCTCGGACGGTTCACTCCAGCCAGCCTTGACCTGGGCTTAAGTGATCCACCTTAGCCTCCCAAGCAGCTGGGACTGTAGGCAGTGAGCCAGTGTACGGGGCCCACAAACCAGTCTTAACTGGGGAAGGCAGTACCCAGGGATGGAAAATGGAAGCTGGACCAATGACAAGTCGTACATAACTGGTTCCCAAACCAGCATCAGCATCCTCTAGGAACCTGCAGAAATAAACACAACTTTTTGGTCCCACTCAGTTGTACTGAACCAGAAGTGGTTGAATTGCCCTTGGCCATGCAGCCCAGGACTCCTTTGGGTTATGTGTACCCATGGTCATTTACTGTGATGTGTGCTTTCTTAGTCAACCTATGACACCAAGATTACTAGTGGAGCCTGGCATGGTGGCTCCCACCTGTAATCCTAGCACTTTGGGAGGCTGAGGCAGGAGGATGGCTTGAGCCCAGGACTTCCACACCAACTTGGGCAACAGTGATATACCATCTCTACCAAAAAAACAATAAAGGCATGGTGGCAATGTCTGGTTCCAGCTGCTGGGGTAGGGGTCGATGGTGGTGGGGGTTTAGGTGTAAGGATTGCTTGAGTCTGGGAGGTTGAGGCTGCAGTGATACCTGACTACACCCTAGCCTGGGTGACAGAGCAAGACCTTGTCTTTTTTTTTTTTTTTCTTGAGACAGAGTCTTGCTCTGTTGCCCATGCTGGAATGCACTGGTACAATATTGGCTCACTGTAACCTCCGCCTCCTGGGTTCAAGTGATTCTTCTGCCTCAGCCTCCCGAGGCAGGGATTACAGGTGGGTGCCACCATGCCTATTTTTTGTATTTTTAGTAAAGATGGGGTTTCACCATGTAAGCTGGTCTTGAACTCCTGACCTCAAGTAATCCACCTGCCTTGGCCTCCCAAAGTGCTGGGATGATAAGCATGAGCCACTGCGCCCAGCCCAAGACCTTGTCTTAAAAAAAAGTAACTAGTGGGGAACGCTACCTTATGGTCTTATTCTAAAATAATCTGTTCCATCTAGTACCTCATGCTTGTATGTTCACAAAAAGTCTCAAAGGTATCTTGAAAACAATAACTTAATATTTCCCTTTGCCATATTTTCAGGAATTCAAGGAACTAATACTATTCTCAACATTCCTTCTATTTTAGCATGATTTTCTGACTATAATAGACTCTTGTGGGGGGCGGATATTAAAACTCTTGAGAGTATATAAGTAACTTGCTTTTCTCTCATTCTAGAAAGCCTATTGTAGGCAAGGGAGCAAGATACACTCTAGCATTCATTTATTTACTTTTTTTGAGACAGAGTCTTGCTCTTTCGCCAGGCACCAGACTGGAGTGCAGTGGCACAATCTCAGCTCACTGCAACCTCCACCTCCTAGCTTCAAGCAATTCTCCTGCCTCAGCATCCCAAGTAGCTGGGACTACAGGCATGCGCCACCACACCCAGCTAATTTTTGTATTTTAGTAGAGACAGGGTTTCACTATGTTGGCCAAGATGGTCTCGATCTCTTGACCTCGTGATCTGCCTGCCTCGGCCTCCCAAAGTGTTGGGATAACAGCCATGAATCACCATGCCTGGCCTATTTTCTTTTTAATAGAGCCAGGATCTTGCTTTGTCACCCAGGCTGGAGTGCAGTGGTGTGATTATGGCTCACTATAGCCTCAGACTCCTGAGCTCAAGTGATCCTCCCACCTCAGCCTCCCAAGTATCAGTACTTAATAACAGCAATTTATTTGGCGAGTAAAGTTGAAAACCTCCAGCCCTTCCCTCAGTCTTGGTCAGGAAAGTATTCTAGACAACAGGCTCAAACAGTCTGATTTAATTAGGAAGCTGAGGTGGAGTAGAGTGGGATCATCAGAACGCTGACATGGGACCCCTGGAGTTGGCAATCACAGCAGTGTGAGGTTGGCAAGGGGAGCAACCCCATTCAAGGCAAGGCACAAACTAGTTGGCAAGGAGAGATAAGGGTGGGACCCCACTGTCAATGGACATGCTCAGGGAGGCCAGTGGATTACATGCAATAGGGAGATCATTCGGGCAACTTCAGCTACGAGACTGGGCATCTGTGAGGGCTGAAGGCTCAGGCTGTTCGCAAAGGTTTGTGATTCACCTGGCAAAAAGACAACAGTAGATGACGCTTGAGAACCAGGTACCCTGCTCTCCCGGACCCCCACTTAGATGAATGGGCTATAGAGAAAACACACACGTCCAGGAGTCTTCTTTCTGGTGCCCTACCTCATCCTGTTTCCCCAAGCAAAGACATCAGGATCCACATATAATAAATCACTGAAGAGAGGAGAGGGGGCGGAGCCTTGTTTGTAAAAACTCTCCTTAGCTCTGAATATTCCACTGCAGGCCTCCAGGAGGCTCCAAGGAACCCAGCTTGAAGATCACTGTATGATCCAGTGCTTTTATTTACATATGCTTCCCCCACCAACCCCACGGAGTCTCACGCTGTCACCCAGGCTGGAGTGCAGTGGTGCAATCTTGGCTCACTGTAACCTCTGCTTCCTGAGTTCAATTGATTCTCCTGCCTCAGCCTCTCAAGTAGCTGAGATTACAGGTATGAGCCATCATGCTCAGCTAATTTTTGTATTTTTGGTGGAGATGGGGTTTCACCATGTTGGCCAGGCTGATCTCAAACTCCTGACCTCAGCTGATCCACCCACCTGGGCCTCCCAAAGTGCTGGGATTACAGGTTTGAGCCACTGTGCCCAGCCTAATTATGTGCATTTCTTTCTCTCTCTTCCTTTTTTTCTTTTTTTAAGATAAGAGTCTTGCTCTGTCACCCAGGCTGGAATGCAGTGGTGCAATCTTGGCTCACTGCAACCTCCACCTCCTGGGTTCCAGAGATTCTTCTGCCTCAGCCTCCAGAGTAGTTGGGATTACAGGCATGCACCACCAAGCCTGGCTAATTTTTTTTATTTTTTAATTTTTAGTAAAGATGGGGTTTCACCATGTTGGCCAGGCTGGTCTTGAACTCCTGACCTCAGGTGATCTGCCTGCCTTGGCCTCTCAAAGTGTGGAGATTATAGGTGTGAACCGCTGTTCGCAGTCCCATTTCTTTCTTTTCTTTTTTTTTTTTTGAGATGGAGTCTCACTCTTTCACCAGGCTGGAGTGCAGTGGTGTGATCTCAGCTCACTGCAACCTCCACCTTCTGAGTTCAAGCGATTCTCCTGCCTCAGCCTCCCAAGTAGCTGGGACTGCAGGCATGTGCCATGACGCCCAGCTAATTTTTGTATTTTTAGTAGAGACATGGTTTCGCTGTGTTAGCCAGGATGTTCTCGATCTCCTGACCTTGTGATCCACCTGCCTTGGCTTCCCAAAGTGCTGGGATTACAGGTGTGAGCCACCATGCCCGGCCTCCATTTCTTTAACATACACATAATGCTTACTACATGCCAGGCACTTTTCTAAACACTGCAAATATTTGCTCGAGCCCCTTAACAATTCAACGGGATAGTTTCTAAGTATTAACCCAATTTTAAGGCGAGGAAACAGATATAGAGAGGTTGATTATTTGTCCAAGATCACAACTAGTAGGCACTGTAGCTAGGATACACAAGAGTGGTTCCAGAGCCTGTTTGCTGACCTCTACCACGATCTACAGGTGAATTAACCGGGCACCAAGAAAAGCAGTGATCTGCCCTGGAATTAATTGTCAACAGGCTGCAAATAGTTCCCTACTAGTGGGGTAACCACAAGCA